AGTCTGCACATAGGCTATTAAAAAATCAGAAGATGTTTTCATATTTTTGCTTAGCTGATCATCCACCAGCTTGGGTGTTGGCTGAAGAAATGAAGCCTGATATCTTGAAGTCGAGGAGTGTGATCATTAATTTAATCCTGATAAAGACACGGAGGGCCCGCGCCACGAACTTGAAGGTGGGGGAGCCAAGGCTAAAAAAGTAGGGGACCAAGGCTTCTTACCCCTTATACTACAGCTTTAAAACTACTTGCTTAGCAAAAAAGTGAAGCGGTACCGCGGGCCCTGACATGGTGTGCAATACCTGCAGCATATTTAACCTATTTTAGACGAAGTTGTTCAACACGAAGGCTTGACGAAATAGAAATAAGCAAAGCGACACCCTCTGGCATGATAGGTTAATGGGACATTCAATCTCTTTTTACAAAACCATGAATACTAATGCCCGAAATATCATTTGCTTAACGACATGATTCGATATAAATCCACTGTATAGGATTTTACAGCGGCAGCTAATACGCCTTGAGTAGGAGCCTAGAGGTTAAGCATAAGGATGATCCGTTATGAATCTGCGTAATTCGTAACTAGGCCGGCACTTTCGTTTGATTGGCATTCATTTTTGATTGACTAATGCGTTCAATCAATGGTAAACGGATGCTGGGTCATGATAGATGCTAATTTTAGTCAAAAAATACACCCACATTGAAAATTCTGTCTTTATCAGAACAGTATCATCCCCGATTCAAGCAATTGAAATCCCCTCAAAACCGGGGGCATTTTGATTCTTCAGAAATGTTGCACACCTAAGGCAATACACGTTTTTATAAAAAACTGGTTCATAAGAAACTAGTACTAGGATGGCCAAAATTATAAGAATTTCAAGATGGTTTTGAAAAAAGTAAACATTTTGAATCGTACTAAAGTTTCTCGTCTGACACTCTTCAGAGTATAAAGGGGTCAGAACATAGATGGAGAACTCTACGCTAGGAAATATATATACCCAGTTGTGGATCTGGGTATACATTTCTGGGAATGTATAGTGTTCTTTTCAATATAAGTGTGAAGCATCTCCAAATCAATGTTAGAAAGTCATTGAAGCTACAAAATCCTTTCAAGACGTGCTAGAGGATGTATTCTACGCCCGGTCATAACTTAATGTCTGACGCAAAGTTTTTACCTTTCTACCTCACAGTATCACTAACAAATAATGGTTCCTTTCAAGCTTTTTGAGCAAATCACAAGTTAGCCATAGGTACCACAAAATACTGTTAGCTGCCACGATCCTCAGTTGCAATTCCGAATTTCACCCTTCCTAACTAAACTTATGGTGTAAAGAAAAGAACTATATTTCCAAACATTGTTATTAGCACCTCCATGATTTGGACGCAAACTGATTATTCAAAGTCAAATAACAAAGCAGGTTTTGTGCTGCATTTACTTGATCAGGCTCATACTACTGATGTAAAATTTAACTTGTAATACACCTTTTTTAATAATTTGCAAAGGTCTGCTACGTGGCATATTTTCAAGAATAACCGCGAAAAGTAAATAGACAGGGCATAAACCCTAAAAATCTAACAAACATTTTAAACTTTTAAACTTTGGTGAAGCTCTAAACTTGAAAATTTGATTTATAACTTTCTTGAAAAAATCTTTGTTGTCACTTGATCGATGACCTCATGTATGGTATAATTTTAATGCTTAAATGGCCATAACTTAAACGATATTCCACATATGACAACAAACCTTACATATAATGAAAGGTCTCAAAGAGCTTTCCATTGATGTATATATTTTCACTATTTGCTTAAGTGAGTATTTTTGCAATCATGTGGTTGGTAATTTTTGTAATGACCTTTAAAATTTAAAAGGTTTAAATGGTCATAACTTTATCGTTATCCGATATATGACGATAAAACTTGCATGAAATACAATATCTCAAAGAGCTCTTTAGACCGATTTAAAAAAATTGAGTATTTGTTGATTGCAACGTTTTCATTATCACGCGACATCGAAAAAATTGTTCATGAGATACTGCTTTCTTAAAACATTTATGAATTAAAAATTACAAATATTCCAAAAAATCATCTTGCCTTCTCTATTGATGTTATTTTTACTCTCAAAATGCGTAACAGATTTCAAGCAAAGGTAAACGAGATTGTTTGTTTGAAGTCATACAAAAGAAGCAGGTACCATTTGTCAGAAACTATGAAAAATGTTGTAACACTACTCGCAATGCACTTGGCGTTACAACACAGCCATTTGTCAGGAGAGATCTGATCCTTTGCTACTGTATCTAATAATCATCCAGAGACCGAAAAGAGACGCAGAAACTGATGGGCATTGGGGGCATCTGCCCCAATCCAACTTTTCACAAATGTTAAAAAGTGCTCTCAAAATTTAAAAACGTGCCCTTTACCACCTGAATAAAAGAAACTGTGCCTAAGATTTTCACGTAATATGAAACGTATTTTTTACATTCAGTGTTATCCTGCTCGGACCTCCCTTCCCGTTACCCATATCTGTCTGAAATGGATTTTGCTGAGATATGGGCGCACATGTATCGAAGTTAAAAGGGAACATCCTTTTATCATCCATCTCAAACCTTACAATCAAAGAATGGTTTAAGAGGCTTTTAACATTTCGACATTGGCGAATTTCGTTGTCTAGAGACCAAATCGCCTTAGCGTTCCAAGGTCTAGGGGCCCCCCATAAAGTTAAGAATGGATTCTTTCAAATGTGAACAAAAGTATGCCTAAGAATAGTGACATGTTTTAACCGATTGCAAGAAAATGATTACAATAAATCTATTTGAGCTTATCTTAAGCTTAAAGGTGTGGTTGCAGAATTTTTCTGCTCGCCCCCCCCCCCCTCAGGGAACCTCTTCTTTCAGTTTTCCCACAGGGCTACCGAACTCTCTCGCGTGGTCTTAATCAGGAACTTGTCCTGATTGCCTGAAGGCAGGCTGATGGAACCCTCGAGGAATTATCCAAAAGTTGACATTTCTAGCAAGAAATAATTTTGCTGGGCACTTAAATTCGACACGGGTTGTACAGATGCTACTTCCAGATCCACGCCAAGATTCATCTATCAGCTCCAGCAGAAAGATTATTTTCGGTCCAAAGTAGATTGACTTCATGTCTTAGGAGAACAGTGACTGAGAAGTGATGTAACAATTTACTTATTCTTAATATACAAAATATAGAACAGACAAATATAGCTTAGATATAGCTGAGATAGCTGAAGAAAGCGAAACCTCAGAAGGCAACATTTTTTGTAAATATTAGAAAATAACTTTTTTCGCGCTAAATATTATATATCTGTTCAGTTCCATATTTTTCTCACTTTTCTGAATATCTTTTACATGTTTGGGCGTTTTAGTAGAGCAAAGAGCTTGATTAAAGTCTTCCCACATCTCGGATACCGAAGGTGATATGGAGTATGAGAAAGTGGAAGCAGAAAGCAACAGTAAATGGGAAAGTGACTTTATATCTAACGAAGATTAATTTTCTATCTCGGGGCAGAGGTTACAGTGCAAGTTGTAGAGCAAAAATGCTTCCTCTGAACAATATGCCATAGACATCAAGAGGTCAACCGTAAGGCTACGTTCCCACATCAAGTAGATTCATCCGTACAATCTACTAACCCTAACAGGAAGAGGTTACACAAACAATTACACAAAGGCTAGTTAACAAAGGCTAGATTCTTGCTAATCGAGCCATGACCGAATACTTGAGACATGAGATGAAACTTTTTATCTTTTGAAGGTGTATGTTTTAAGACGATATGTGAAGGAAATTTAGGGAGAGATGATGAAAAGTACGGACATTTTGTTGAAAAGCATTCTCCATAGACAGTGGTTTCTCAAGGACTTCGAAAGGTTGTGTCTCAAAAAAAATTGATTCCTCCCTTCTTAAATTTGAATTGATCACAGACATTTCTCGTGGCATGTAATTTGAGACAGACTATAGTAGTTTATTTTAACCTCTGTGTCTATGGCCCCGGGGTAGTCATAGTCTTTTGCTCCTCGGGGTATCGTCCAAGTAGTATTGTAAAGTAAATTTGTAAGTAGCGTAGCTTGTATTTATGTATTGTAACTTTTTAATGGATATATGAAAAAAATTAATTTCCAACAGGCATTGATCGAGAATTTCACCAATTATTTGGTATCAAACAGAATTACAACTATCTATTTCAAAACTAGTGGGTAAGCGAAAAATTACCAATGCCTTCCTCAAAATAAAGGGGGGTAACACCCACCTGTGACTTTCTTTATTTGAGAACGCTCCTGTCGATGGGAAAAAAGCTGGTAAAAAGCTGGTAGGATGGATCTCTTTTCTGCAGAATGTACAATGAAATAAATTTTTACGTGTACAGTTTAACTGCAAACCTTTATATCTGATTCGACAAGGGTTTTTATATTAGTAATGTAGGATGGGTAGAATTTATAAGGGCACAGTGGTTTGAAACTAATGGGGGCTACAAAGGAATTGTATATATTGGAAACGCAAAATTTTCTAACTTTTTGCTGTTGCAGTAGTGGCTCTACATGCTTTGCTATTATTTGCGCAATCCTAAATGTGATGATAAACATAAAAAATTATGCCGAGAACTCATTGCTTAAACTTTTAAGACGCCCTCAGTCAGGACCGGATTTAGGGCAAATGGAGTCCTGTGCTATATAAGTTATGAAGAAAATTGATCTACTATGGATACATAGACACATGGAAGTTTACGCATAGAAATTTAGAAGGAGTTAAAACATTACATTCTACCGAATAAGTCAGTTTCTGCAATTAAAGCATATTTTCAAGAGATTAAGGCTCAGATTGGAAGAACGCATAAATTTGTTTTAAAAGAAACTATAAAATCTGTTGCCAGAAAACTTATGTTTTCCAGGTGTCTGCGCAGCAACTTGAAAGATCGCTTTGCCTCTGTGTGGTAACATGCCTCATTTTGTGTGACATGTTGGTCCTAATGGAAACGAGGAATGTTGTTCAAGATTGCTTGGTCAGGTATTTTTTGACCAGTTGTCTATTTGATGTACAAATTTGATAGTTTCAATGAAAAAAATCGAGGTAAGAATTTAAGCAACAAGTTTGTTTATTCATTTTAACTTTTTGTATTTCTTTCGTCAAGTAAGCGATATTTCAAATATCTCAAACGACCAAAACAAAACGAAATTGATTGTACATTTCACTTATTTAAAAGATAACGTTATCGTTTATTGTGCTGTCCTAAGCGTGCATCCCCCAATAGGGAGGTGGTTCTTGTGGTGCCCCTGAAATGATTTAGCTGTATGTACTCCTACCATGACGTTGTGACTGAACTCTATAGGTCAGTGGTGAGTGGTGACACAAAGAGTACGGCCGACTTTGACAAGATCTTTGGCGTGCCAAACAGCCTCCATCTTAGAGGTACAGGTGGGCAAAAATCATCTAAAAACGTGCCAGCACTTTCTCCCATACTCTGCCAAGTAAGTCCTTGAATAAGCTGCCTTTTTTCAGGCAGACATTTAGCAAAAAAATATTTTAGGGTGGGGACCTATTTGAGGGGGAAGTATTTTAACTATTTGTACTTTATTAATATCAACCCTAATATAACTGTTTCTCTTCTCTGCAACAGTATGATCTTCAGCCTTTTGTTTAAAACCAGAGAAAGTTAACCAGTTATTTATTTTATAATTTAAATGGTAAATGCAAATTAGAGGTCAAGAAATACTGGACAGGCCTGTTTATAGTAGAATAGATACTTATTTATCTATTTTTGATATATACCAATTGAAAAACCATGAAAAGTATATTTGACATGCCAGACTGGAATTCTGTTGTCAGGCTTGCATGTCTATTGTCAAAACTGAGAATTCTGAACAGGCAAAAGCATGCAGAAGGGAAGTTTATGTGCAGGGAAAATATATTGTGGGCATGCAACAGAGTTTCTAGTTTGGCAGAAATATATTATCTTATCTACTGATCTCAATAAAGGCTGGATATTGCTTACACTGTCATAGCATTGATTTCAGTTCATGCTATCTGTGTTAAGACTCTTTTAAGCTGCATGAGTCTAGAACATAGAAATGGAAAAAGATGTCCAGCTAAATACTGCTTAAGATGTACACAGGCTAGAATAAAGTAAATTTTTGAGGCAAAGTTAGTAATTTATTGTCTTCTCTTGAAATATATGTGGATGCCTTACCGTTGATTGGCTCAAGTTGACTCTCATCAGAATGTTATGATCTTTCTTCAGTTTGTTGTGAAAATGTAACAGTTATGGGAAACATCATGAGTAAATTATTTTTAACATTTTGATTAATTTATTTTATTCACCTGTTCAATTAGAGTTCCCCGTTATGGGAAACATCACGAGTAAATTATTTTTAACATGATTAATTTAATTTATTTGGCTGTTCAAGTGGAGTTCTTTATAAGTGGGTGCCAAATGATAAAATGAAGCTTACAGAAGATCTGCAAAAATCGCCTACTTTCATTAAATAAAAATTTAAAAACACTAATATAATCTAAGATGATACTTGCAAACCTAATTCTAGATTTTAACTTTCTGCTTTGCGTATTTTTAAAAATTGTAATCTGCAAGTAAACTCATGAGGTATCCAACCTGTTATCTTCAGCAAAATTTTTAGATGGTTGAGATTTTTTTCTGAATGCCTTGGTTTGGAAAAATAGGCTGCAATTGATCAAAACTTGTATGACAATTCAATGTGCAATTTTTTCAAAGCTCTATTTTTCATGGTTTTTTCGTATGTTTATATTTTAGGCACAATCTAGCAAGGTATATACATAGTGATTTTATATATGATGAATAATTTGGGGTTATTTGTACAACATAACACAAGAGAGCTACCAACATAAGTCAATATTGTCTTTCAATATCAAGTGCTTTAAATATTTGTTTAACAAGCATTTTCAATGCATTTTTGTAAATGCATTTTTAAAACAGAGATTAATTGTTTAACATCAGTGGCGTGGTGGCTCAAAATTGGCTAGGAGGGTGCTTGCCTTTTTGGTGCAACCCTAGAGTGAGGCAACAATGTTAAAGTTGTATAGGGATATTCATAAGCTTTTCTTATCATTATGCTCAAATTTTTAGATTGTTCAGAGGTTTAATGAAAGCTGCCACTGAGCTGGTGATGAGGCTAACTAAAACATTTACAACATAGATCTAGAAACGAGGAAAATCCAAGGAAATTTTCAAAATTTTTCTGTAATCGCTATGCCTGAATGTAAATATTGTGATAAGGGGTTTAATGAAAGCCGCCATAGTTTTTTAAAATTTTTGAAGTTATAAATTTCTTTGGAGTTATCATGAATATGCGCCTCTTCAGAGTGCAGATATATCAAGTTGCCTTCTTTGTTCACATTTGTTTTCGAAGGGATTTTGGCACTCTGTTGGGTTGCCTTTGTTGCCTCCTGATATCAGGTTGTTGGTGGGGCAAGTACTCCCTGGCCCCGTTGTACAACACCACGCCACTATTTAACATGGACAGCAAAAAATCGCTTTTTTGCTGCCACAAAACAAACCACATTTTAACTCAAATAAAACCATGATCTCAAACTCATTGATTTGCATCTCAAATGATGGTACTATTATTGTGAAGAATAATTAAACAAGCTACACTGGTAGAAAAAGCACTTGGAAAAACATCTAAAAAGAAGGTGGGTTGCTTGCATGTATCGGCAAATATATCATGCCCTTTCAAAATTCAAGTTCATATTTTAATAAATGCTAAGTATAAAACGTCACCCATTTGGCCCAGGATTTAAATAACCTAGCCATAAGTTTTCTTTTGGCTAGAATTTTAGTATATTGAGTCTATGGTGCTAAATGGCCATTTGCCACCCACTTTTAAAGCATATAATAACGATCAATGTAAGTAAATTGTACCAGGAAGGTTTTTTTAAAATAAATAACGACGTTTCGAGCATAGCCCGTTATCAAGTGGAACTTTTAAAGCATGCCTGATCCTTCCATTCACTGTCATTACTTCTGAAAGGCTTCCTTTAATATCCAAATCTAAAGACTTAGAGCTATTGCAAATTTTAAAGTAAAGAGGAATTAAACGATAATCAACCATTGCAATTCAAAGATGAGTTCACCAATGGTTGTTTTTCGTGTCGTCAGATGGTTTGAAAGCCATGACAACATTTGAATGTTTGAATGGTTCTTATTTCTTCGACCCATCTCATTAAAGCACTTTTACAACTTAAAAATTTTGTGCTAGTGAGATTCTTGGGCAATAGTTGTTTCCAGTTTTGTCAGTCCAAATTTTCATATTACTCACAAAAGCACAAAAGCCTCGTGCTATACCGGACCAAATGTATTTAACGCAAGTGTCGTAACTTGTCCTGGTGCTCGGTATGAAAAATTGCATTTTTAAAAACCAAGCATTACAGTTTTACAAAAACATTCAACTGGCAGCAAAAAAATTCAACATCTAACAAGCTGTTTTTCTCATGTAATGGAGCAGATGTCTAAGGCGAGACTGCCGCAGGAAAGTTGATTCTGTCCCCTTTTTGCATCGTGAACCATACCATGCAAAAAGATTGCCAACTCGTGCCTATAAAATTTCTTTGCAAAGCTAAACAAAATTTGTACTGAGTGATTATGGTTCTGAAAACAGTTTACTCTCAACTTATTCCGCAACAAATAGGTTATTGATCGTACAGACTTGGTTATGATGTAGTGCCATATTAATATGGTGCGATTTTCGTGCAAGTTTCATTTCAAAGTGTTGATCTCCAGGCTAGATTACTAAAGATTATCGTGCCGCAATTAAGGGTAAGATTAAGGGTAAGGTTTAATTATGAAGAATGCTTTAAATCATCGTATATGGATTGTTTCATAGACATTTTTGCATCTTTCGGAGTTTCTTCAACGTTCGCTGTAGATAAACAGCTTATAAATCAATCCGCAATCTACTTTGTGTTTTTCATGTTGAAGGGATCAACAGTTTTCACATTTTCACGAAAGATTTTAATTCAATGCGGTGAATGCCAAAAAATAACAAAAAATTGAAAAATTTTGCAACTTTTTCAGTTGTACCAAAGCCCTTTTATGTCACTTTTCGTCTGATACTCTGTATTTCAACCTTTTTATTCGTTGCACACTTTTCCATAGAAAAAAATACACTCCACAAACAGACAATGTTAAAAAATGAAACTCTGCAGGCCTATATATACAATATATGGTCGTTCTCATCAAATTGCCTTGAATAGGACTCAAATGAATACAAAAAAGCCAATAAACATATTTTTTATCCTTACTGGAATCGAAGAAAGTAGCGTTATTCAATTTTTTAGACAAATTAGGTGAAATTGGAGAATTTCCCACTGCATACCAGACAATATCTCACGACGCATTTGTGTTTGAAAGAAAATGCTGTATGAAACGTTGAAAAGCGTCATCAAGGGTCTGCGTAGATTTATTTGCAGCTATGGGTTGAAAATAACTCGAGATGAGTTGAGTGTTCTCCCGTTAATGAGTCCAAGTTAGGAAACAAACGCATCCAGTTTTCTTAACTTTAAATGTTTTGGCACTATCTTGGTACATGAGTTAATGTTGCTCTATACACTAATCAGATTAGTTTTAGGAAATCCAACTTTCCAAGTCACTACTTTTTGGTATAGTTTTTCCCGAAGCTTGTGGGAAGCTGGGCTTTGTAGATACGAAGCTTCACAGCCGAAGAACAATTTTTATTGTCTTTTCATTGGTTTTCCACGTTTTCTTACAAAAGTCTTTGCCGATCAAACCCACTTTTGAAATATTGCAAAAATGTTCCCAGTTGAAAAATTTAGCGATTCTTTCTTTCAAATGTACTGAATTTTTTTTGCTTTCAGTATGTGACAAGACCTTTTTGCTTTTCATGCAGTCTTTGAATTAGGAAAAACATTAACAAATCCAATTTTGGTAAGACACTTTGATATCTAAGTGAGCATTTTTTGCTATAATTTATCTATATTCTACACAATACTGTCGGGACGATACTGCTTTGTGCAAAACAAAGGAGGACACATCATTTGGATACGTTTTATCCATAAATCATCCCATGCCCATCTTTCAGAGTCATGGTTTGTTCTAATACTTTTATTTACTCGGAGCTTAGTTCATTTCAGTACTCAATTTTCGTGCTTGTTACCTTGAATTTTTTAGAATTTTCCATCAGGATTTCTCAAAATGATTTGTGAATATTTCATAACCCTTTCAGCCATCCAGCTTTTAGGATGGGTACCTTTATGTAGCTAAATACTTTGTATCTATTCGTTTGTTACACATTAGCCTTTATTATATAGAAATAAGTAACTACTCTAGTGTCTCCAATAGACGGCCCCCCGTGTATCAATTTCAGAAGAATTTGCCCTCCCCCGTCGCTTATTAGCACCCCCCTTCTATTAACTTTTTCAAATCTGTCATGACCAGAACACACAATTTTCACTTATCAATAATTCCCCTTGTTATGTTATGTAGTTATTTTTTAATTGTCATAATTCCCCTTGTTATGTTTGTCTATTGTTATCTCTAACCATCTATCCATTATCAAGTAGCCAGTGTCACCATCCTACCAATTCCACTGCCTTTTCATTGAAAGATTTACCAACATCCACCTCTTCTATTAGCTCCCCTTTGCTATTGAAATTTGCTGACATTTTATTGAAAATTGGCCAACCTGAACACCCCTTCTATTACCTCCCCCTTCTATTGAAAATTGGCCAACCTGAACACCCCCTTCTATTAGCAACCCCCTTCTATTGAAAATTGGCTGGAATGAACACCCCCTTCTATTACCTCCCCCTTCTATTAAAGACGCTAGAGAAGACATAAAGAACAAGACGATTTTATTAGTTCATTGTTAATAAACTTGTTTGTATTTTCCTAGATTAACTATGCTGGCTGTTTGGCTCAAGATGGCTAGAGTCCTTTAATCCTGAATTCGAAACATCATAAAAACAATTCTAATGGAGTCAACAATGATGAGGTCATTACAAATACCAACATTGATCATTATATGCGTCGTTGTAATGATGTTTGTACACAACCAATCGCTTGTTTCAAAAACTGAATTAGATACACTCGATGCAAAAATCGGTCATGCGAGTTTGGAACCAAAAGTGCAGTACTCACTTGAATATGACCCTAATTGTGAACTGTGCAAGTCACGGTCAAAGAAGAAAGTACATATCGTGACAACGTTCTTTCATATGGCTCTAATGAAGGGTACTGCCAAACTACTTCTTCCTAATTCAGATTGGGGAGATAAAGTGAAGATAGACAAAAGGGAAGCAAAGTCGATGTTCCAGAAGCGTGATCGTGAACTGCTAGATGTTTTGCAAATGAATTTGATGAATCCTTGCGTGATGGCGGTACATATTGTATACAACAATGAAAAGGTAGTGGAACACATTATGAGCCAAAAGCTCCGTTTTACTGACAAACTCATTTTTCATTTGGTTGCAAATCCCACATACCAACACATTATGCTGTATATTGGCAAGTATCTACGTCACCAGCTTGTTGTTTTTGCAAACCAGGACATTTATCTGGGCAGAGGCTGGAACGATTTGAACCATGATCTAATTGAGGAAAGGAGAATAATGTATGCTCTCACACGGCACGGAAAACGGGAGAGGTGAGAATCTGGTTAGGCCATTTTGTTTTGTTGCAGTTTACTTCTGTGTAATTGATGTAAGGTATTTCCACGTGTATCTGTCTTAGTAAGATTTAAGCTCTGCGCTAGTTTTGAAAACATTTGTTACCAAAGAAATGTATTGCTGCCTTGACAGATAAAATTGAATCACAGAACAACATTTAACTTTTTTAACTATTTTTTCAATTTTTGAGGTATTTGTTGATGTTCTCTCAGTTTATAGGGTCAAAATTGAAAATTCTAAAAATTGTTTGTTTGTGTGATCAACATTAGGAATCCTTTTGTGATTGAGCTTAAAGTTCACTGGTTTACAGAGAAAAAGAAAAAATCTATTTAGTGAGTTTTCATTTCGAAACAAAGGTAGTCTATTGGCCAGCTATACATATTTGTCATGTTTTTCTAATTTAGAGCTCTCTTAAAATTCAACAAACAATTGCCAAGGCGTGATATACTGCCTTTTATATGCATGCTTACAGTTCAAATGTGTATTTTTTTGATTATTTTTTTAGGTATTGCCGAATGCCGGACAACTGTGCTCATTCACAGCCGTATCTTGGCAGTCACGATGCTTTTGCTTTCATCCTGACCGAGATGCCAAACCCAAAACATTTTGCATTGCTCAATCATAGAGGCGATCAGTTTGGAGTCGAGAATATCTTGATATTTGTATTCAATATAAAGTTGGGATACGAGGTGATTAACCCTTGCTTTGTGTTGTTCGTATATCATGTTCATTGCTCGAGGATTTTCTCTAATCACAGAGTAAGGGTCAATCGCTTTAATAATACTGGAATGGCGCATTTTATGGATCAGCTTTATGTCTAGTCTTACAGATACAGCCTAGTGTGGGAAATGTAGGAAGTAAAGAGTTTATGATGATGGACATAATGGTCATCTGGCTCTCTCAGGGCTTTTACCCATTGCTGAAAGATCGATAAACCCATAGAAAACAAGAGTTTGCAAACTAGATTATTTAATGCGAATAAAAAATTCCCAACTAAAGCCTTGATTATTGTTTTCTCTAACGTTGAGAGAGCGCTTAGGCCATGTTGCTTTGCTTGGGCCATGTTGTTTTGGCTATGTCACTTTGGCAACGTTGCTTTGGCCATGTTGCTCCTTGGCCAAGCTTTCTCACAACGACACTACGTCTCAATTTATGTGCTGAAGTTTGAAACAGCATAATTTCTGACGAAGCGCTTTCTTTCGAACCAAATTGCTAGACCTGTGATTAAATGTTTCCAAATAAAGTCAGTGAATATTATATAGAATATGTTTATGGATATTAAAAAGTTTATTAGCTAATTCTGCTCCGTTGCCATCAAACTTGGATCCCTCTGGATTTTTGGCGATATCGTAACATAGTTTGAGCACTAGTTACCACTCAAAATTGATGCTATTATACGCTTTGCGAGGCGCAGCTTCCATATTCCCCTATACATCCCGGATCAATTTTGTCTTTGTCTGGTATACGTTTTTAGTCTAGGTATGTCTTCGGGTATGACTTCTTCCTTTCTCCTTGAACCCAGCGTAGAATGCTATTTTATTTCTTCCATCAGTCTGTTGTAGTTTAGGGCTTATTTTCACGTACAGCTGCATCAGGTTTTAAAAACAGTGATATGGTTAGTTTTAAATTAGGTAGTATTTGTAACCAATGCCCTGCTTGGTATCACCAAAATGCAGGAGCCTTTATTTTTATGATTTTATACGATCGCATTGCAATGTAGGAAAATCTACATACAGCCCTTATCTTTCTAAAATATGCATCTATCGTGGAGATTATGCAAAGAGCTGTTCAAACGTAGTTTCCTTCAAGGTATGAGTTTCAAGGTAAGCTAGATGCAATAGAGTGGTATGTTAATTTAATGCATCTGGTAGAAAAGAATGGGTCAATTGTGACAAAGGTGTTCATATTATGCTTCTAGAGTTGGTAGTGTATTCATATTTTTTATATAGATCGTACTTGTTAATTAATAACCTAATATCATTGAAAAATCCTGGTTTATTTACAAACACTTCAGTGTGAACTTAACATTGTTTTGAAACAGTGAAACAGTTATGCTAGTTGATCCTTACATGTAGAAATTTTTATATTGAACGTTGTGTTCCTGCTTTCCACTCGCCTAATTTTTTATCGCTTTTATTCAAAGAATCCCATTTATACAAATATGTTTTCTTTTTTTCCACCGACAATTCAATGTTCATTCTTAAACAACATAGCTAGATGTATTTCTAGATATATGCAGCTTGAAAAAGATACATTTTATACCAATTGTTCAAGCAGCGTAAGCGTTGTCTCCACTTGTTACGTGGTTGTTGGAACACTTAGCAAGTGATTTTAAGAAACGTCCTTGGCAAGAGATGGTCAGCCAAAGTGATTTTTATGTACCCGTAAATATATATAATCATCGCAACGCCTTTCTTGGAACGCAAATGAATAGAAATTGTCTAGATCTACTCCTTGCTGTAAGGTTTACTCTCACTCTTTCCTTTGTTTTCTATAAAAAGATTCTTCACGAACCAGTTTTGTTGTATTTTAGTAATGATTCTCATTAGACGATAATATTGTGCATTCTCTGCTGCCATTTTTTATAGTCATCTGCATAACCCACATGGCCTCTTCGAGAAATCAATATACAATCAACCTTATTTCTATCTAATTGTCTGTTGACCTTAAGCGCCAAGCGTGAAACTCGGAGTAAAAAGTTGAGAATGATTTGAAAATATGCGAGTAATCGGCTTGCATAAGACTAGTTCAACTCTTATTTTCATATTTTTAAAATTGCAAGCAATCCTTCTCATGTAAACGGTGCGCCATCAAACATCAAAGGGCCGAATACGGTGCTTCCTCAGGGCTTCTGCCTTGGTCCACTCTTGTTCTTGATATATCAATGATCTTCCATTTTCGTTAGAACGCGGTAATGTGACGATTTATGCTGACGATTTTACTATTTCCTATTCAACTAAAATCCTCGAGAATCTCCAAAATGTATCAAATTCTGACCTATTGAATCTACAAGAATGGTTACAGGAAAATGAGTTTCTACTGAAATAATCAAAACTCAATCCTTTTCTTGCTATTGTTCGAGCTTCCAATATTAATAGGATAAAAAGTCAGCTTGAACCTCAACCTTCTCTGAAATAGATTATTAAGGCACTGAGGCAATTTTCGACATAAAATATCTCAGAATTAAAAAAGGTCGTTATTTGTACAGGGATAAGGATATTCAAATTTTAATATGAAAATCAAATCCTTGAATGCCCTTGGTCTCATCAAACACTCTAAGAAATATTTGTCATTTGATATTGTGGATAAGATCTTCAGAAGCCTTGATGAGCCACATTTGAGCTGCTGCTGCTCAGTCTTCGGTGCTTATTCCATAAATAGACTCAACAGCTTACACAAAATACAGAACAATGCTGCAAGGGTTGTGTCAAGTAGCAGAAATATTGCAGGAATAACAGTGCTGGAGTATTGCTTGGATCAGGGCAGATTGGTTTCCCCACACTTTCCTGACACATCAAACACGGCTACGTATTCTTTCATCCTCAGTGTTCGGCGTCAAATTGTATTTGATGAATTATGAAATTATGAATTTTTTATGAAATTGCTCAAGTAACATTATTAAAAAAATTCTGTTCCTCTGGAATGGCTTGATTAAATTTCTAACGATTTGTTTTTTCTTCAGCTGCTCTCAGACGTTGGCTGCTTCCCAGCCCAAGTTTGCTTCGGAGGTTTCCTATCAATTTTTGTGGTACTTCCAAACGTAAATTTTGAGAAAGATAGTGCTTGTGGAAAACACAAACACGGTTTTTTTCACGAAACTTTGCTAAACACCTGCTTTCATTTTAAATTAATTAACACCAAACCTTGAATAAAGGTCTAGACTGGGCGGGCCTTGTTCAAGATGGACCTTTTGCATTTCCAGGAGGAATAACCAATGCATAAGCTACAAGTATGACGATATTGCTTGCGTATTTCAAACAACTTCAATTAACCCTTAGAATAGCAGGTCGTGAATGCTGTGAGTTACATATTGCAGTACTGGAATCAAAGGTGCTTGGGGCTTGCAGATTTTCTGTAAAGCTGGTTGTTGCTCAATTTCCAATGGATCTCCTCGTGAAATTTTCCTATAAGAATCCTGAATCGAAGGTTTTATACATTCTGTTATTGAGTACATATAGGCTCCAACATCGAAAGGGAGGAGATCAGGCGAAGCTACAGGCAAGATTAAACATGCACCATCATGTGTTTGGGCGTTTATCTCAGCAGCTGTGTCCATGGTTCTAGGAATTTTCAAAAAGGCTACTTAGGAGTTTTACACGCACAAATTCAAAACTGCCACGGGTTCGTTCCACTTTGCGTTCAAACTGCAAGTTAAAGCAGTTTATCTGGATTCCACCCTGGTCAACCCCGCCAATCATGTGTGGGTTAGATTAGCCCGGATCGGACACGGGCTAGTTGCGTTCATACTGTACAAAATGATTGTTGTTTACCATAACCCGGGTCGAGCCAGGGTTAAACTTCGTCCACAAAAATTTCTTTGGTATTACTGGAAGCTTGATAAGTACATACGCTAAGTCAATGTGGATGTACTATAAGTTTTTCGCTTAAAATGGTGTTATGCAAACTCAAGGACGCAATATGCATTTGGCACGCTTAGCTGAATTAAACAGGATAGTAATTAGAGTGCAACCTTGCGTTATCCCAAGCTTTTTTAACACTAGCAAGCTATTGTTTGATTTCTCGTTCATATTCTTCAGATCTACTGTTACAAAAAACGGCTCTTTGAGTCTTATTCAACAAACTTCATTGAAAAAAATGTATTTTCTGACTAGAGAAGATTTTGGCGAAAATTAAGTTCAAATATATAGAAATTAAAGCGACTTTCGCAAAACATATGTAGCATAATCTAACTCTCAAAAATAACAAATATTAATTGATGAATGTCATCTAATTTCCTTTAAAATATCAATTTTCTTTCAATGTAGAATATAGTTTTATCCATTGAGAAGTTCAGCACTAGATTTTGATGAACTCACGATTTTGATAATCTGGAAGAATTTTGAAGACAAAGGAATGTCCATATTCAACAGGAATTTAGATCCTTAGGAACTTAATCAGATTTTCTATGCAAACACAAAAGCAGACAATACAGAGAATATTGAACTGTCACTTTGTAGATTTTTTTGGAAGCTGAAAAACCAATTACTCTTTTCTTCTAGCATTGCAATCATATTCTTTCCATAGGGAAACCCTGCTTGAGGACCTTTCCAACATTGTAAACAATGATATAACTCAGTTACCAGTTACCTCGTCTATGTGGTTTAATACGTGATGGAAGTGAAACGTACAACTCAATAGCAAACAGAATGATTTTGGAATGTACGGTCAGGTACATAAAAAATACAAATCGGTTAACCGCCAAGGCATTTACATTTCTGCATTTACAGCACTATCTGAGACCGTTTAAAAAAATTTTTCTTATAAATACAGAATTCTTTCTCTTTTTACGACCCCAAACTGCTACAGGAAGCATGAGCATTTCAAATTTTCTAGTTTGTTTTGGCCTATAAGTTTTTGTAAACTGACTATGATGAAATTTCTATATTCACTTTTCCTATGTTTTTGTCATCTGAACTCTTACCCCAAGCTTTAAGCATCTATTTCTTTTCATTCAAGATATTATTTAACGCTTTTCTTGTTAATTCTGCAAGATCAGTTAGACCATACCTGATAATTGTTTGTTTCTCATGGTTTCTCAGTAGATTAAAAATGCCTCTTTGTGTAAATATATAGGAATCTTGAAGATATTTCATCAAACAGATGCATAAAGCCAGTCAATAGATACATTCAAGTGCAATCCTAAATCTGCAGAAATGTTCAGGGCCTATTCAACATACTATCTAACAGGGTAATCGAACCTGCAGCCATAGTGACTTTCAATTCCCCTAAACAATAGGCTATTGTCCTGCTCATGAACAAATGCTTTCCCCTACAGCTAACATGAACAACAATCTTGTACTGCATTGACATCAGCAATGAAACGCCGTATCAACTCAAAAATTTACATGCAGACGGGTAACTGCTCTCCCAGGCTAAATAATCTCTGCTTAATTCTGAGATTTTCAAAAAGATTAAAAATATGAGTAATGATTGAATCGAAAGTCACTACTGATTGTCATCTTTCTCAACACACATTGCAGCTCTTCTTGCTTACCGTAAATCCCAGCTCTTCTTGCTTACCGAAAATCCCAAAATTACCCCCCTGGGGGCTTATTAATCTAGGATGTTTTGACTGTATGAGCCTAAAAAATTGTAAAAATACTAGTTCATTCATGAAATATGCCCCTTAAATTTATCCAGATCTAGCTTTGGAACATTCATTAAATTTATTAAATAAACTTGCCAGGCTACGGGGACATGTTTGGTTTCTTGTCTTCCCGTTTTCCTATTTGACCTCCCGGACAAAAAAGTAGCCCGTCCATGACGTCACTGTGGAGAGGAGATCGAAAAAGCCGCTGGATGTGTTTGTATTTGAATTTATTACGTAAAGGAGAGGCACGTCCATACTAGCAAACGTAATCCAAGGCGTCATTGTTGACAGAGAGGGAACTTTCGAGGGCTTAGCGAATCAATGAAAGGAGGAAATAATTCTGATTTTGTTTAGCCATGGGTTAAAGTACAGAGAGCAATGGAAGAGAAAGCTGTAACGACAACTAGAGGGAAATCCCATCAAGGCCAGGGTCTGATGACGGAGCGGAAGATTTACGACGTGTGGTCGATGAGAAAGGAACCCCAGGTTAGTTTCATCTCAATCATAAACTTTTTAAAATATATCTTACTGAAGGTTGGGGGTTGATAGCTATCTCGTTTACCAAAACTGCCTTTAATCTTTAGGCCATCCCGACGGTTACATCAAAAATTATTTTGCCATGTGGCAGTGGAAACGTAAGGCAATAATGTATGCAGCACGTGAACAAATGAGCTCCCTCAATAATTTCCAGCTGCAATTATCATGTTAAGTCCTATGTAACTTTTAGTATACTAGTAAAATAGAATAAAACATGATACGTTTAGCTTTTTAGTTTCGGTTCAAGCTATTTTGCCCGAGGAGGCTGCGGGTGGTGAAATCTCGCGCGATTGAAAAGGTCAGAAGTAAATGGATTTATTGCGTAATGTTTACTTCTTGGAAAAAATAAAATTTAAAAGGAAGTACCTAAAGCAACATCATAACAAAGAGCAACTTGTTTAAGATAGGATTTAAATATTGATCTATTTCTTAGCTTGTTTATGATAAATGATACCATTTATGAAAAGTGTATTATCAATTTGAAATAAACGATCTATGTAAACTGATTGAATTTTTGATACAGCTGTTCAAAAACAGTTATCTCTGTTTGTCTTTTGCTGCCTGACCTTGACCTGCGTCCTTGACCTGTTTTTCCTTCAGTCTCTGGGTAGTAACTTAAATTTTTTCATGATTTCTCTCTGTTGGTAATCAAGCAACATAAAAGCAATCAAGTGGATATTAGCAATTTTACTACCATCCAGTGATTGATTTAAATATATAAAATATATAAAAATTACAAAAATCATATAGAGTGAATGATAAGCACCAGTGAGGTAGAATATGTTTTTTTGGCTGTAAACACCTTCAACCACCTTATACGTATATATATGAAGTTAGCATAAGTAAGTTGTGACAATAAATTTGCATCCTCATCTCAGCTTTTTAAAAAAGAGTCTAGCAGTTATAATACCCAAAAAATCATGGTACACTTGCAAGTTTTGCACCCCTCCTCCTTCTAACCATCTTTAAACATGAATTTCAGAGCTTTGATGTTTTCCTATACCTACTGGTTGTTTATTTTATCTAGTAATCTCTTTAAGTACATAACTTTGTGTAAGACTAGCTGTTATAAAATGATATTGTTAAACAAGTAGTTTTATTTGAAATAATCTATTGGAACAAAACAATTTTATGATACTGAATGTATTATGTCAATATTAAGTCACTATCGAAGCAAGTGTTAGTCCCATATACAATTATCATTACTAAAACAAAGCCATTGCACTTTTTCAGCCAATAACTGTAACCTATGGGTCCAACTTCATTGTCAACTGCTGTCTATCTTTGAATTAGATACCACTTCTACTTTGTGCAATGAACAGCTGTCTTCTTGAGTAACCATAAAGCCCTTTGGTTGATTGGACCTAATCCTTTGGAATAGACATTAAGCCAAAAGATGCTTATCCCATACGTTGATTAATTGTGGAGGAAGGACATGGTCTTTTTTACAAGTATTTCGCCTGTCAGCTGAGGGGTCAATGAAGGCTCAATAGATGCAAAATGGATACCAAACGACCCACTACTTTAAGAATAGAATGGTTCCTTGGAAATTTAGTTGAGTTGGTGTTTCTTTTGTGTTGAGAAAGGGGGGATTGTTAAAAGGACCAAGAGCCTATGCTAAAAGACCACAGTTAATATTGCAGTTTGAAGGGCTATAAGGTTTACAGTATTCTAAGTTGAAAAATGGCTCAGTTCATGCGTACCTTTTAGGAATTTTTTGGGGCCCAAACCTACTTAGACCATCTGGTGTTCTAGCCCTTGGCCAAATTATTTCCCTGGTTGGGTATGATGGTGCCCACATAAGATTTATTCATTTTAGTAGCTAGACTGTAAAAGAATATAACAAAATAAACAAGCAAACAACAAACAAATAAAACAAACACCAACATTTCCTTTACGTGATTTTTGCAGCATTATCATGTGATACGAATAAATGTTTAAAGATGATATCTTGGGATCACATTTACTGTGTGTTCGAAATTTAATTTCCCTTGATTTTCAGTCTGAATAAGAACTAATTCCTCAAATAGCTATCTGTTGAGGGAAATTCCTCAAATAGCTATCTGTTGAGAGAAATTCCTCAAATAGCTATCTGTGTACAAACTTTACATACTGCTTGCGTACATAAGTCTTAAAGAAAAGTGGAATGTGGAGGAATGGTGAGTTCCATTGGGGGTGGGTAGTATAAAGTTTTTTTCAAAATCTTTTGTTATGGGTGTTAAATTTTCCCTTGGCCCCCTCACTTTTCAACCTTTATCGGAGCCCATGACATGCAGTTGACAATTAGACCTTCAGATATGGCCCTTTTCCCATTACAACGATAAAAAGACATGTGAAAAGGTGAAAGAACTTTTTGGGACTTATTGGAGGATGAAAGTGCCACAGTTCCCCATTCTTTCAGTGTTCTATATTGACATCTCAAAGGCAAAAACTGATGAAGCATACCATGTATTTTCCATTATCATTTCTAATAAGTTCTAAACTGAGTTCTCTCACGTAGATCCTCGATGTCATGAGAAATGTTGACCGAGCCAAAGAGAAATGCTGGATCTGTTTAAGTCCTAACTTTGGTTTTGAAAAAATATCTAAATAATGACACAAGTGCATTTCTCAAGCTCCAGCTTGCATGGAGCATTTTTAAGGACTTCAGGTTTGACGAGCTAACGATCAAAAGGGCAAATAAAGTCGTATAATGTTTTTTATGGAACTCTTGGACGCAGTCTCTTTGATTTTGGTAGTGAACAGCCAAAAAATGAAATGGTAGGCGGCAAAGATATAAGATTTATAACTCGATAGTTTGACTGATAAGAACTTGGTATACCTCAAGTTCTACCTTGATGGACTCTGTCTGATGAATTTAGATAAGCGGCTTATACCTAAAATTCTTTATCACTTGTAACATTGTAGCCGTTGTTACTATAAACACTGAATAATGAAAGAGGGCGTCACTCCTACTAATCAGGGTGATCTGTTACCATGGTAAAAAGCTGACATGGAAAAAGCATTTGCTTGTCTCGTCATCAGCCCATTCCAGACTCTAAACTGGCACACAAGGCTTTGACCTAGCTCTAATACATTTCTCGTTTACCTATGCATCGGGGTTTAAGCTAAGGACCGCCCCAAACAATTCCTATACAGTGAAACGTTATTTTAAAGGATTTTCCACAACTTTGACACATTAATATTTTTATTAAGCAGCTGTTTGCTTGTGATTTTCAATCGCTACCCCTTTGTTCCTGTTGGTTTTTGGTTGCTAGCACCACAGGCCCTAAGGATAAGCCGCCGTGCTGCGTCGTTTAAACCTCCTCTAAGTCGCGCTACCCAACTGAGTCAAACAGTCAAACGTTACGATAGATAGCTGTTTGCAAACCAATTTCTTTAAAGATCTGCAAAGACAGGAGTTATTGCAATGGATAGCAGACCTATAATATGTATTACTTCAGACAAGAGCACGCCGTCTTTGAACAAAAAGCGATCGAAGATTCCCATAAACAATAGCAAAATAGAAAATGTAAGTGGTAAGCCTTTTAAGTTATGATTTCACGGAGAGATGTGTTAAAGAACCAGGTTTTCAGCTGCTATAAATTGCACGAAGACAGTTATGTAGCACCTAGGATTTATAAGATCTTGGATTTGCAAAAACAGGACATATTTTTTAAATAGTACCCATGTAAGTTGTTTTTTTTTCAAATCAGAAATACGACTGTTGATTTGAAGTTTCTGATTCATAGAGCGAACTCTCACCTTGGGAAAAATTCATAGTCAGCTTAAGTTTCCTTTTGCTTATTACTTGAGCTTCTTTGCCGTCATTGATATATCTACAACACTAATAAATAACTTAATATTTATCGTTACCAATTTATATGAAAAATATTCATGCATGTAGAATGTAGATCATACCGGCTTGCGTCAGTTGTTGTAAAAGACGTTCCTGTCAAACAAGAATTTGTCGACCTATTTTTCAAAAATAAACGTGCTTTGAACTTGCGTTTTTAGGTAGGAAGAAAAGAATTCCCCTATCACAAATTTACCTTGTATTTTGACAGTGACATGCCTTGCTCTCCTTCTCTGAAGGTTTTGCAAACCAACTAACAGGAATCAGAAGATATATTTTAATAGTCAAATAGGATTTAGCATCTAAGAAGCAATTTTGACATTCCTAGCTTTTATCTCTGAAGCTACTTTCGTTACAAGAGCCTGAATTTGGTTGCTCATTGAAGCATTTTTACTTTTTATAGCAAAGACTTTGTGTTCTCTTGGTGGCTCTAGGTCTCTTAAGTACTTTGTTGGGAAAATCTTTGAAAATCAATCACAATAATCATACAATGGTAGTGATTAAGAAAAGGGTATTGTAATAAATGGGTTCTTCACAGCAGTAGAACAGTATTGTTATCTTCACTTTTCGCTTTGCAGGATGCAAGCCAAAATGAAAGTAAAATCAATTTAGCGTCAGTTCTTGAATCTGCACTCGTGTCTAATGAGGAGTTCGACGCATGGCTGACAAAGAGTGAAGCCATGCTTGGAGATGAAGTCTCTAGCTTTGCAATTTTCGACCTTCAAGTTATAATGGATAGAAGAAAAGAACTTGAGGTAGGACTGATTATGCGAAACGCCTTCTAAGAACTCAAGGCCAGTTTGAAATATTTCGTTTCATTTTCAAATAGTTTAAGGAGGTTAGCCCTTCAGCGATACTGGTTTACAAGGGGCTCTCCGATAGGCCAGTTTTCAATTTCCTATCCTTTTCTTTTTAAGATGATTTAAAATTATTTTGTAGATATGTTATTGCTAAAATTTATAATTAAAAAGTATAGCTGGACATCTACTTTCATTGTTGAAGTCCTATTTTTAAGATTAGTATTCTGTTGCCCTTTTAATAAAATTGAATTGTGGTTTTACTTAAATTAATATGTTTCCTCAGACAGCATTGAAAAAACAAGCAGAGCTCGATGAATCTTGACAAGGCCAGTGAAAGTTATTTGATATTCATGGAACTTTTGTAGTCGTATTCTTAATCTTAAACTTAATGTTTAGGAGTTGTATGAGGAGATAGAAAAACACGAACCAAAGAATATGATTTTAGCGGAATGCCTGCAGAAATTTTGTCAGATGATTCCACCGTCAGAGGAGAGGGTTGAAAAGAAGGCAATGATTCGTGATACGAGATCACGTTTAATGAAACTGAGGTTAAAGGCCGTGGAGCAACGAGAAATTTTTCGAACTGTCGTACCCCTGTTGTGTCATTACAATGAGAATTCAGTGAAGATACAGCCATGGCTTGACGAAGCAGAGTCAAGGTCATCGCCATTTCTTGAGAAATATGGCGACGACGTTGTTTTGTTAGAAAGTGCCGATGCAATAGAGGTGAGGATTTTTTTCATGTATGCATATTTTGAAACTCCGATTCGTTGGTTTTTTCAGCAAATTGCTTAAGCTGTTGAGGTTTGCTTGCCTGTTATTACTAGTCTAGCTTCTGATTGTCTTGTTAAACATAGGCATTGGCTTTTTATCAAGTCAGATAACTGGATGTTTAGCTGATGAATTAGATCCATTATTAAAGTAGTGTATGCGTATTGGCTTATATACGTCAATATGGGTCCGGGTTTTGGGGCAGTATATCACTAAGTTTCATATTTTATAATGATTAGCTTTTTGATAAGTTGTCTTTTAATGTAGATAATCAAAGAACGATAGTTCTTTAGACTTCTGCCAAACATACTTTCCCAGACAGGTTGCTAAAGCATTTTCATTCATTTTCAATCTATTTGTATTAAAGAAGTAGTTATGAAATCGTTAAGCTTCCACTTTTTTAATTATGGAGAGATTGGTACGGTGTAATGATATGTGCTTGGATTTCGAAAGATTTTTTGAAAGATGCAAAAGTCGCTTAAGATATCTGCCAATCAACATTTACCAATCAAAAAACACTGTATATGCCAATCAACCAGTATATGAGTTGAATGAGAATCACTGATTGGTCAATCCTTGATTGAAAGATGGCTTACGCCCCTTTAGTATCTGTCGACTGCTTTTAAACCCTGTTGTTATGATTTAAGCAGATTTGGCTTGTATTGACACCAATTTTTCCTTTCATACAAAGTCGCTGCTACGAGACCTCTTAGAGCAGAAGCCAACATACGAAGCGTGTCTGACGTATGGTGAACTGGCTTTGCACACGACAGGGAAACCGTTTGTAGGACTTAAGGATGATCTTGAAAAAACAATCGAGAGATGGGATACGCTGTGTGTCAAGTTAGAGAAATGTTTAAATAGGCTTGATGTAGCAAGGGTCAGTGATGTTCTGTTATTCTTCTCCTCAACGAATGTTGCTCTATAGATTAAGGTTATATTGACATTATTGTATGCTGGAGAGAGGATTCGATCCAGTATTTTATGAACATATTAGAATAAATTATGAATACAGTATATTTGAACCAAAAGGCAAGTCGGGACTATAGAATAACAGTGATGAAGGGTTAACCGCATAATAAGATAGGTGGCATTTCTACAAATTGAACTTTTTTATTTACACTGGTAAATAATACCGTTTTGAATGAAGTACCATTTAAAACTTCAAAGCTCTAATCATTTGCTCTATTTGTTAAGAATTCAGTGTCAACATTGGGAACTCCAGTTTCTTTATGTTTTCTCACTCTTGCTCAAGGGTTTTTTAATTTCGATGTCATAAGTTTTCACTTTTGGATCCCTATGTGTACAATTTCATACTAGAAAAATGTTTTTAACATTTGTACCATTAAGGAAAAAATTTGCTGCATTCTAACGTTTAAGAAGTCTTTAGCTACAAAAACTTTCTTTTGCGCAGTGGTTTTGAAAACTTTATCGGTGGTAACAAAATATTTTTTTTTAGAAAATTGACGAGCAAAATCAAAAGAATGAAGCAGAAAGAATTGACAGACAGGTATAGTTATAATTCATTCAATCTTTCATTTGAATTAAGACAATTTTTTCAAAATCAAATGCTGTCAACGTTTTCAAGTCAATTTTTAGAAGTGTAAACGTGTAGAAGGTTCCGAGAATTCCGAGAAAAGCTCATCCAAAAGCAAAAGACAAACCATGTTAGAGCTCACTGTGAATTGCTGGCTCTTTAGTAAGCTTTGGCTTGTGCATCCGCCCAATAACCTGAAATCAAGAGCTGCAAAAATATGTTTCTTTCTGGGAACCTAGGTAACAGGAAAATTTTGATGTGATGTGTTTGTGTACAGGAAAGGTTTGTGTACAACTGCTCTACCAATAGAACAAACAAATTTCCAACAAGGGCTTCTAATTTATTAGGTCTAGGGAAAGTTTCCCATAAAATATTGTAATTTGGTTGTTGATTGCATCTTTTTTATATGTGAAAAAAGTAGAATAAAGTGATTTGTGAACCAAATGGCGATATGTTTACTTACTGGAAGAAAACTTCAACATAGATGCTGCTCGCTACAATTAACTGGTAAAAATTTGCGAAGTCTCCCAAGGCCTCAATCAAGACTCAAGTCAAGTACTGTATTGCTAGCAGAAAGAAAACTTAGGATGCATGTAATTTTCATAGCTTTTTATCTTTGAAGATCCGTTGGCATAGCCTGATTTCAGGCAACTAAAACAGCACTTTTAAAAATATATAAGCTGCCCATTTCAGGTCTGCAGCTTTATCGGTTAAAAAAAGTCCTGGAAAATGTTTTGAAGATTGATTCAAAGTTATACAATTTTTTGTGATTTTTGACAAATGAGTAGTAGTTTTTGTAAAGATTTCAAAATGTGAAACTTTTTTATTTGATACATTTTACAATCTTAGGGCATTAAGCTTACGTTTGTATGAATCTGCTGTGTAAAAATAATGTTTGTGTTTGCAAAAAACAGCTATTTTTATAATGTTTTGCTGAAAATTTTCTGCCAAACCAAAAAATTTTCTGGGAATCTAGTTCCCAGATCCCGATACTTTTTGCAGCTATGCTGAAATCTATAAAGAGATTTATCTATTACAAGTCTGCTCTTATTGTTCAAACAAGATAAACATAATCAATCGTGACAGATTTATTGCAACAACTTAAATGGGACTCACTTGAATCACGTAGATTACTATTTCAACTGAAATATGTTCATAAAATGTTTACAAATCAGGTTGCTTTGGACCCTAACGTTTTCTTTTCCCCTGAAACTTGTTCAATGACAAGGAACTCCAACTCATTGAAGATCATGCCTAAATTCGGAAGGCTTGATGCTGTTAGGTTTTCATTTTTTTATTCAATCGTTTTTGTTTGGAATAGCCTGCCAGACAGTATTGTGATGCAGGCAAATTCGGATACCTTTTACAACCTATGTCGAAATCACCTCAGTAAATTTTAAAATTTTAATGTTGTAGTTGACTGGGCAGACATTTGTATGACCCAAAGGGTTGTTAAATGTAAATGTAATGATGATGAATCATACAAATATTCTAATACATCCAATAATCACATATGTCGTGATTAGGCCATACAAACCAAAGAAGATAGTGTGAAAGTTTTTTATTCTCATCCAGAAAATTCAGCCACACAAAGGGTATGAAGAATCTGATTGATCTAAACAAATTCACTCAAGCGCGCTGCCTCATTCCTATTAGACTGTCTCGATCTAGGGTATTCTATCCCCGTGGATGTTGCATTATTTCAGTTTTTTAAGCTTGCAGAAAGCCTTAGAATTACAAATAATAAAGAAATTTTCTTCATTTTCTGTCAGATTCGCAGAGAAGCTCACAAATGCAATTGTCATAAACCTTTTCAAATCGTGCGTGTGTCTGAAGGAAAATACACGTTTGGAAATTCAAAGATAATTCGTCTTGTGAGAATTCATGGTTCTAGCATTGTTGTTCGAGTTGGAGGAGGTTGGGAATTCTTGTACGAGTTTCTGATGAGATGTGACCCTTGTAGAGGTGAGTGAATCGAATCTTCAAGTCAAATATTGCCTGGAAGCAGTAAAAGGTCATTGATGATTGCATATAGGAAAAATTTTCAGATCTCATCAAAGAATTTTTCATCTTGGCCACAGTTTGTAATTTTGAAATAACCACTGTCTTGAAAAATTGTGGTCATGGCTTGGTACGTAAATGTAGGTCCATTTTTCCGTATTTATTAATTGTTGGTCACTTCGAAGTATGCTGAAATGTATATTTCCTCTTTCCCATTAGACTCTCTCCTTTTTCCTGTGATGACGCTTAAATGTGTCATTTTGGATAAAAGATTGAGAGAAAAATAGCAAATAATTATTGCTTGCCTGAGACTTGTACCTAAGGAAGCAGTGAATTTTTTTGGCTGTATAGGAATCTTAGGGGCATTTTTACAGGTTATTTTAGTCAGCTAATACAGCTTGACCCAACTGCATATAAATTAGGATAGGCAGAGAAGAATTCTAGCCAGATAAAGTGCTAGCTGTCCAGCCAACTTGAAATGTTTTCGTCTCTTTCAGCCAAAGAATACTTTGAAGACGGCGTGGAAACGTTGAAGAAACTTGGATTGAAGCCAATTGATGAGCGTAGGCACTCATTTGCGTTTGAATCAAGAAGGGTTTACCATGCTGGGATATCTTCGTTAGCAAGAGGACATTCGTTTCACAAATTAGCTAACAATGGATGCGAAGGGGATCATGAATGTGGTAGCCTCGGTTCTAGTTTTGATAGCCTCGATGGCGCGTCCTCTACCAGCGATGCTGGACATACCTGCAATACAAGAACCCCTGATCTGAAAGGAAGCCACAAGGAGCAGCTGCGAAGAAAAATCTCTGGTACAAAAGTTTCAAGGACAGCTGAAAAACCAAAGGGTTCTCCGGCGGTAACTTTAAGACCGAAAAGCTCTACACCAACATGTACAGGAAGGCCAGTGCGCAAAAGCCTAGTTGAAAGGCAAGGTGATTTTTCCGAGAGAATGAAATTGGCGAATGTCCAAAGAAAACTAATGGAATCGAGTAATTTTTCATAATTTATTACAAATTTGCTTATAGTCTGTGTATAGCTTTATAGATTGAAAAAAGTGTGCTGAAATTTCGAATACATTGTTAGAAATAAGGAAATGTGGATATCCTAGGCTTACAAAATATGGTATCTGGGAAAAAAGAACCCTGTTTGATATCCCCTATTCTAACATATGGCATCTCAGCTGCCATTCAAGAATGCATTTTTAGGAATTTCGTTTCTCTCTTTTTGTACCCTTTGTGATAGGCTATCTGTCTGTCATTCTCTTTGGCTACATTTTAAAGGTCATCCGATCTTTCCTGCCGTAAATTTCATTATCATGTGCTCAATTTCTTATGCAACCAGTATACGCTGTGTTTGAGTGAAAAGCCCTAAACTTTAGCTTACAGCACAGTTATCATGTTGAGATATTTTGCTGTGATTTTCTTGCGTTTATGGATTGTATTTTACATTGTATTATACTTAATAGTTTCATAAAAAATTCAAAGTAAAGTTAAAGTTTTAGATAGGCATTCAAGTTGTTCATTTTTCTATTCCGTAAAAGTTTTGTTGTTCCTTATTGTGTTTTATGTAAGAGTTATTTTACTCTTTATTTTAATGGTCTTGCATCTTATTAAGAAACTTGTTTCAAGGGTAAGGATAACAATATTTCCACATGAAATAACAAACAAACAACAGTAAATATTTTATTATTTTTTATTTCAATTTGGCCGTTATCCTAATGCGATAAATACATTGTGTTACAAAATTTGTTAAGATTAATAATTATTTGAGTCTCCCGGAGAACATAGTTATTTTAATTACTTTAGTAATGTGTAAGTATGGTATCTTTGTTTAAAAGAACATACTCTAATAGATGCTTGGTGTTTTGGAAGTTGCTTGGTGTGTTCTGTTTCATTCTAATACACGTAAAGTCTAAAGTAATTGTTACTGAGTTGTAACTTGTCGATTCCGTAGTTTTTAATACTTCTTGACGTATGATTGGTTAGCATTTAGTTTACGTATATCTTCCACTATTTCAGAAATACGTTAGAATATTTGAAAAATCTTATATTTTTCATTATTGAATTGACACCAATACATTCATTATTTGATATTCAATTAATTGTTATTATTTCAATAATTTAATAGAATTCAAGATTATTATTTATTATAGCTGTAAAATTATCTTTAGAAATTCGGAGGAAATCTTTAATACTGAATGCTTGTTGTTCTTTTGCATTTTACCTTGCTCGAAATATTTTTTGATCAATTCATATATTTGATATGGTGCAGTAGCATATTGTGCGATTCTGATTGGCTGCCAACGTAAAGAAATCCAAATGTAGATACGATATTTTAAGAAAATTAACAATTTTGTTATAGTATGATTGAATGGTTCGGAGTTGACAGGGTTAGGTGTGGCTACGGAATTTACGGGTCGACAGAAGGGAGAGATATGAGGTGTCTAATCTGCCTATAAGGGCTGTAAATGGAGTATTTTGAGATATACAGGAATTGGCATTACTATGGAAGGGAAGGGCTTAATAGGTTATGAGAAGGAGAAGACGTGGGGGTACCTGATGTACACAAGGCCGTAATCTCTACCGTATATAGGATGGGTACGTCAAATAAAAAATGTTATTGATGCGGACGTGGATGACATTTTATCGCTGCCACGTTGTGGGGAACTTGGAAGAGAGGCTGCGCTCTAATATTTTCAAACGCAGTTATGGCGGATACAGAAACAGATTCTGCTGGTGAAGGTACGACTTTACCAACATTTCATGGTAATGAAAATGCATCAAGCGAAATTGAAGGCGATATACACATTCCAGTTGCATCTGATGACGAGGAAGAGCTGAACACTTTAGACGAACCAGTTTCTGTAACTTTAGTAAGTCGAACATTGATTGCTGTGTGTCCATTTGATTTTGGAGATTTTTGATTTGACCACTGATCTATAGATCAGTGGATTTGACAAAGAAGGATTCATATTCAATTTTTCAACGTTGGCAAATATGAACAAAACATCATTTCTTGTCAATACTGCATATATTTGCTAATGTGGATAATGAACATATTATTAAAGTCCAGGGCTTTCAATTTCGACAAACATGGCAACATTTTAGCGTGATTCAAGGAATAATCCACTACCAGGATGCAGAGTATGACAAGTGTATTTTGAGATCTGGGCGTGACATGGGTGTGTGCTGTTGCTTAGGGCATATGAAGAAATGAGCTTTCTCAAAATCTACATAAATCTTGCATTGGTTCGATAACAGAATAATTATCAATTATGAAAATTTTCTTGTCTTAGTTCATTTTTGTGATTATCTTTGGGCTCTTGAATAAATTTACACCCTTATGTGCACACTCAATCTTTTACCAAAGGGCAAACTTGCAGAATTGAAGTTTTGCTGTTGCATACCAAAGATCTGATTGGGAGCTACCATACTCTGCCGTCCGGCCAGGACAAAAGTATTGCAACACTCAAATCATAATGGCACCCAACAGATTTAAACTTTCGCAAAATTGTAAATTTATAATAAAATATTCCCTATTATAAAAAGAAAATCATTGCATGATCCACCTTTAATCACCTGGAAAAGTTGCAATACTTGTGTCCTGGTAGTGTAGTTTCCTGACTACTTTATTTGTGAACTGCATAATTTCAATTTGCTTCCAAACAGTAGTACTATTTTTAAGAAAGCCTAAAAATGATGGACTTTTTTATTTACTATTTAAGCTTTCAAAACAATTATCTTGATGGCAAGTCTTATTGTTACTCAAAAGCTTGAAATAGCAAATGGTAGACCATAATTAAAGATTAATCTCTGCTTATAGCTGAAATATTCCTTTATTTTAACTGTATCCTTCTAATTTTGCATACGTTGTATTGATAATATGATGGCATAACAATGAATTTGTGGCCCTTTCATAGTTTTCATATCTTTTTCAGTAGAACAGAGTGTTTCAAACATATCATGTCTATCATTTACTTTTCAGAAAAGAGATTTTAAGGCAGTTGGAAAAAAGTTCTTTCATGTTCTCATTCCCAGGCAAAGCAAGACTTTGTTAAGAGACTGTAAGTTTTTAATTATCTTCCCAAGTTAAGTATATACTAAAGCCATTGAAATAGTATGGGAAGCTTCTTCAATTTTATGGATAACCATGTCTGTCTAGTTTACAAATTTTCCATATCTATTTATTTTGTCCTACTCTGCTCAAAAGATTTTAAATTTTTCAAATCTCTATGTCTTTTTAATATTTCTCTATTAAATAACCAACAGCTACCAACATAATATTTAAAATCTTTTGAGTAAAGTAGGACATGTTTTAGTTTCAAATGAAGATGCCAAAGCTTCTTAAGTTTCCTACAACTTTCAACTTTAAATGCAAATTTACATCTTGAAGATTTTGAAAAATTAAATTTACTTGTTTGAAACAGTATATATCTACTTCAGTTGCAATTTGGTAATAAATATATACTTATTTTGTTTTAGGGGATCTATGGGGACCATTGTTACTTTGCATTTTGCTAGCAGTGTAAGTAAAATCTCCTTTTGTATATTCTTCAAATTTAAGGCTTCTTTCTCCATGTTTAAAATGCAGTTGGACAAGTGCTAGTCTTGTTTGAAAAACAAAGAGCTTTATTGGCACAATAATTGTATCTATGCTTAAACAGCCTTTAAAAATTTGTTTTCTAGAAATATGGAAAATGCTCTGAATTCTCTTTGAAAATAGAAAGTTCAGGTTGATTTTTAGTTCAGATCTGCAAACCTTATACTTGCAAATCAAAACCTCAGTCTGACTGGTGTTATATCAACAGCACATTAGCTACAGAAAAGAGGAAATATGGTACATAGCAACTTTTCAACGAGGCTTAGGCATTAGGATATACATATAAATTTTAATTTAGAATCAAACACCCTGGTTTGCGTATTCCTATTTAGTACCTAATTTATTACTCTGCAGGGTTTTATTTAAATTGATGATAGAGTGGAAAAGTGATGCCTTCACAAATCTATTTTTAGAATTTTAGAATTCTCACCTCATAACCTTAAAGATAACCTAGAAATTCTCTAAATATGCAAAATCAATTGACATGAGCTTTGCTTATGCATTGTTGTCGGTTTTGCCTGGTTCATACGTTGTAGAACTGGAGCCAGTTTACAGTGGTATGGTGGGGGGAAATAACCAGTAGCAGCACCACAGAGGGAGACTGGAGGGACATGTCCCCCCTACTTCGCGCAAGAAACGATTTTGTTTTTCATCTAAATTTGTTGAGAAAACGTTAGGGGAAGGGTAATATTTTGGAACTTCCTTTATGTAACCAATTGTTAGTCATGGGTGTTTGCAATCGGCAAAATTAGCTTTCTGTGCTGGTAAAAAGGCATTTCCTGACAGAACAAAGGGCCTAGCCTAGATTTTTGAATTTTGTCCTCTCACCCCAAAGCCTAGTGGCTGGCACCACCACTGATAAAAACCAATTCTTATGTGGCAACATCTGAGTTGATTTGTAACAGATCCTTGAATTTTCAGGGAACTTGGGATGCTTGTATCTATAAAATGGATGGCTTTCAGGGATGCACAAAAAAATATCCCTAAAACCCCTGGTGTAGTATAATATGTGATCTAAAATGTGTATAAGATATATGTCATCAAGCTAGTTGAATATACTTTTGCTGCAGAATGCTACAAGGATCTCATGGTACAGGTTTAGCTGGTGGAGATGGAGGGCCTGAATTTGCAGAAGTGTTTGTGATTATATGGTTAGGTGCATCAGTAGTTACATTGAATTCAAAATTACTTGGAGGGAATATGTAAGTAATTACAAGCTTTCTTTAAAATATCACAATGCGGCAAAGAACCATCACAAAACAAATAGAAAAATAGATGTGTTCTTTTATATCCAATCTACAAGCACTCTCAGGATACATTTCAAAACATTCAAATTTAGATGTTTAGATGCATAAATGATAGGCATTACTGCTATATTTTAGCCAATTGAAAATCAGGAAAATGGGACAGACGGGCTTGTGAAAATATATGGGAAAATATAAGGTTGAAAAAGGAAAAGATTCAGAAAAGTTTATTCATATAAAGATAGTATGAGTAAAAACATGACACAGAGATAGAAAGACAAAAGTGGGTAATGTCAATAGAAGTCAGCAATTCAAGTCAACATAGAAAAAGTAAGAGTAGCAAAAAGAGCAAATAATCTTAGCTAACATTGACTAACATCATACCTTTCATCTGTTAATTTCCTTTTGAACATAGTCAATAGAAAAACTCTGGTCTGGAAGCCTTTTGTTCTAACACTTTGTTGGTGTTTATTGCAATAACGTGATCTAAGTAAGGGTACGTGTGAAAACAGGTGTATAGGGTTGTTGTTGAGTTTTGAGTGTTTCTCGAGAACATTGATAATTTTACAATCTATTCTGAACTGACATTGTTAAAACTATGGTCAGCTCATATTGTGCAGTTTAGGGCTGTAGGCATTTTTGTCATCACTCTTATTCAGGAGTGAGAATTCTTAGAATTTTGCAGTGCAAATCGCAAGATTTTTTAGCTTGAAAAAACTGTATAAAAATAAGTATATTACTGTAAACAGTTATTTTAAAAGTCAAATTGAATTTGGAGATAAATGCAGGCCTGGCCGTTTGAGGCGAGCGATAGCTCGCGCTCGCCTCCACGCTCCCCTCGCAACCTGAGGCGAGCTATGAATTGCTCTCCTAAACAGAACATGAAGGGAGAATCGCTCCCCTAAAATTTCCATTCATTTGCCCTTTTCCTATTCAGAGAACCCTGAAAACGGGTTAATTGGCTTATTTTTGTAACAGCGATTTCTCCCGTCACTGCATTTTTTGCAATTAACTTTTTGCTTGTTGGGCGGTTTTTGTTATGATAGGCATAAACTTCGATCTATTTGGAAAAGGATAGTTAACCGAAAGGTACGTTTGTAGCGATTAGAACCTTTCAATCTTAAGAAAACAGGAATATTTTTGGAAGGAAAGTCGAAGAAATGGGTAGGAATTGTAGATTGGGGATATAATAAGACAGCAGGTCCCTTCCAGCAATAGAAACAAAACTATCCCTCAAAGAGAACAGGGTACTCTGTCTTGCAGATCAAAAACGACAACCAAAACATGGAATTCCACTATCCAGCAGCATTTACTGAAAAACCCAGATTGGGTGAAAAACTATAACGGCGACATGTTTCGCATTATTGGCAAAGCCTGATCATCATTCCATCTATGTAGCAGTTGGTAACATTTTCAATAGGAAAGGGGCACTTATTGGAAAACCTCAACAGTCATGTCCTCGCGTTTTCTGATGGCCTATTTCGATCCAAAACTGGGTATTTTAGCGTAGAGTTTTCCTATGTTCTGACGTTTTATTCTCTGAAGAGTGCTAGACGTATAATTAAGTTTGTTTCAAAATTTGTTTTTAAAGCCATTTTCAAATTCTGTGCAACAAAAAGATTGTTTTGCAAGATGATTGTTGTTTTTGTGTTGTGCCAGCTTCACATAAAACGGAGAGAGTCTGTTCTTTCAAATACTTCAAGTAAAGGGGGTGCCTAAGTCACGGTTAAAGCAAATACAAATTGAAAGAAGTAAAACATAACACTCCTGACTGAGGCAATTACATTAAGGCAACCGACAGATACTAAAGGGGCTTATTAAGTCATCTGTTGATTGTCTTTAAATTACATTCTATGTGTTACTGATTTAGCTCGCCTCAGCAAATGAGGAGAGCGATTCACAGCTCACCTATAAAAATACAAACGGCCAGGCCTGATAAATGGATAAATGGGGTGGGATAGTTGCAGCTCTTCTTATCAGACAAAATTTCTCGCATTTCGGGTTCCATTCAGATAGTTCTATCGCAATGAAGAAACGATTTTTGGGGGAGATCCATGTTTAGCAAGAACCATTACCAGAGATACTACATTCAGCTTAATAAGTTAATAAAGGGTCAATGCTATGAAGTGGCGTAGCCAGGGCTGGAAGATTGGAGGGGCAAAGAGGGGCCTGAGAGCAGGCAGTATTGGGGCAAGCCCTCAGGAAAATTTTGGCTGACCTCACCCTTAGTAATTTGGGGAAAAACCCCATTTTATTAATGCTTTTGGAAAAGCTATAGGCTTTTTACGTCGCAATGGTTGGCTAATCAAATGCAAAAACCATCATATGCAGTGTTTTGTGGCTAATCCCTTGCTTCAATTGTCTAGTATTTTCTTCACCCCCGACAATCATTCCAGAATCTAGTTTTTTTAAGGACCGAAGCGTATTAGCATTTTAGCTTTTTTTTATTGGGAATGTCTAAGGGACATGAAGGTTTTTTTTATATAAACACTAAAACAAGGGGAAATTGTAAAACATTCTGTAGAGGGACAGATAGGGTTAATTTTTTTTGTGACAGCGCTCTTTAGATTAGCTTAAAATACATTTCAGAATATTTCTTACAGTCTTGCTTGCAGTCTATTAAAACGTTTTAATTTTTATCTGAAATGTATTCAACGAAGAGGCATCAGTTGAAAATTTGACAGATGAAAAAACAATAGATCAATCAGTTTCAACTTTTTTGCATCCATATTTAATCAGCTATCATCTGTTTTTGTGTTTGAGAAATCGTTTTTAAAAGGAAGCATTTTTAATCACGAAGACAGATTTTGAAACGCAGAAAATCTTTATACATTTAGAACAAAAGAACAGAACAATGGGCTTCCAGACAAGAGTTTTTTCTATTGACTATGTTTTTGAAACACCTTTTATTAGAATTGATTTCATTGCATTGAATAGCATCATTTTGTATCAGTTTGATTGCAAAGGCAAAGATGGCAATTAATATTCTCAGTATTAGCAAGAGAAAGAGGTAACCTCTTTTATACATGCATGGATGAAAAGTCTTATCAAAGCTTTCTGTAGTTACAATCAAAGCATAAGGGGTGTCTATGCACTGAGTTAAGCCTCTGGCATGTGACTTCCTATTGCCTTGTGTCATTTCTGGTCAGTCTGAGAATGGACCTTCAATATTTTTTCCGTTGAAGATTTGAATATATTTTGCCATTTTGTAAGTTTGAATTATATATTCATATATATGAAATGGAATTGAAGCTCATTCTTAAATACCTACTAGATTTCTGACACCTAAGCAGAGGTTTGTGGTTTACACCTTTTGCAGACAGTAAAATGAGTTTTTATAATTCTCTTTTCAGATCCTTCTTCCAAAGTGTTTGTGTCCTAGGCTACTGTGTTCTTCCACTAACAGTTGGATTAGTAATCTGCAAAATAATTTTATTAGCCCACCAAACAACAGTTTTATTTGCAATCAGATGCTTGATTGTTTTAGCAATGTTTGGCTGGTCCACCTTTGGTAAGTTGATATTTACATATTAATTAAACAGCAAATATTTTTAAACAGTCAATTATCATTTTATTCGTGGATTGGAGAAGATCCCATGGATATACTTTACCTGAAGGAGAGTTTTAATATTCCTTATTTGATGTAAAATAAAGATTAGTTTGTATGCAGGTTCTCAAGACCATACCACCATATACTATACCATACCATACCATACAATACCATACCATACCATACCATACCATACCATACCATATCATACCATACCATACAATACCATACCATACCATACCATACCATACCATACCATACCATACCATACCATACCATACCATACCATACCATACCATACCATATGCCATACCAGGCCTTGCAAGGAGATGCGCTCCAGCTCGATAAAGCGCCTCTGAACGCCCTTATAAAGTTTTAGGAGTTTGATTGATCGAGCATCTACCATGTTTATGCTGTCTATAAACTGAATGTGAAAAACCAACTTTTGTTGTTGATGATATTTGATGATGTTCAATCGGGTGCCTAGAAAGTTGAAGGTGCTTATTTTGTCAAAACTGAAGGTACTCCTCATAAGGCCTGTTCCATACCATACCATACTGATAGAGTAAGGATACTTCAGGATGTCAAGTTTTCATAATTTTGCTAGTTGCTGCTAAAATTATATATAAAGAATCTACTGTGAGTTGCTTTCTGTTAACTATTTAGTTTTTATGGCTATTTTTCTGTTTCAGCTTCAGTTGCATTTCTGGGTGAAAGTCAGCCGCACAATAGAAAGGCTTTAGCTGTATATCCAATAGGACTGTTTTATTTTGTGATCAGTTGGCTTGTTATATCTCATACCGGATGAATTGTTATGCTGAATTAGATCAAAGTTTGTCCTCTAAGTAACATCCAGGGCAAGACGGTTCCTTCTGCCCTCAGTAAGAATTACTGTCGTAGAATGAGGGGAAATGGCCAAAATTATCTCTTAATTCAGTTTAATTTACAGAATGTGAAAACTCATATTATGCAGTGGTTGAAAATTAGAGATTAAAGTAAATTGTAAATATCATCGACAAACATTAACAGCATCATACAACCGCTTTAATTTCCAGCACGTTGAAATGTTAGATGTAAACTTGTCGGTATGTGCAATTGTGAGATAAAGTTGGAATCTTAATGCTTGGTTTTTAAGCAAAATATGGTCTGTGATAGCATCCCGTGGTAGGTATCACTCATGCAAATAAACTTGCAAAAAACAAACTGCGGATTTGCAAGATTTCGCCTATTTTCTGCTGGAATTTTTGAAGATTACAAATTAGATATTATTATAACTTTTAAAAACCTTTGGACCTGAAACGGAATACATAGAAATGGACCTGCCCTGACTCGCATAGATTTAAAAAACCATAAAGTTGCCTCCATGTAGAAAAGGCCAGCCATTCCTGTCGTAATTTTCCGCCCACTTTTATGGATGAAATATTGACAAGAAAGGTTTTGTTGAGATTCAATGTCACTTGAGATAGAAAAATGCATTCTTAACTAGCAAAGCACTTTTGCTGCAAAACATATCGATTTCTAATTGTTTTTCAGTCGAATTAAGGGGAATTGATAAACAGCTATTTATATAACTAGATTTAAATGGTTGTAAATTAGTTGTCCGAACTGTTTCAGCTGGTTAGAATAAAGTAAGTACTGTTTGCAGTAAGTTTCATACCTGTCATCAAAGCGTAAACGGAAAGAATCTTACGTTGTCAAATCGTCCTTTTGTTCGTTCTTTACTAATGACGCCGTAAGAGTAGGTTTTAACTACTCTAAAGTTTGTGAGAGGTTTGTTCATGGTGAGCTGAGGTCAGAGAGAAAACACTTGAGTGAAATGGAGGCTGGAAAGACTCAAGAAATAACCTATGAAAAAAGAGTCAAGTGATCAAAAGAATGCCGGATAGTCAAATTTAAACATAATGTAAGGCACTAAACTGATGCAAATAAGTTGTATCTATATAAAGTTATAAATATCATTAGAAAAAAGCATCAGTTCGAATTTGAATCGAAAGTTTGAAAACACTTAATATGAGGAAATTTAACACAATGAATGTCGGGATACAGCATATGCGAAACTTGGCACTGCAAGTCCAAAATTAGGTATATGCCGGTGCTATAATATTAGGTACTATAATTCAACAGTGGGAAAGAAAAAAACCCGCTTCATTTTCTGCCGTATTTCAGGGTACCGAGATATTTAAAATTCTAGCAAGCGCCAAAAATCCTTTAAAATTGAGAAATTCTGCCGTGAATCATTAGGCAACTGAACTTCCTATGCTTCCTTTTTGCAGGCTTTGATTACTTTGGTAAAGCTCAAAAGACAAACTATAAAATTCAGATCAGTTTCTTTTATGAAAATAATACATGTCTGGTTCTGATTTTATGAACATAAAAATAATAAAAAGCTTGAGATTTTTGCCTTATTTTTAGTTTACTAAATCTTTCCTGTTAAGTAAAAAATATAGCAAATTTTACGCTGAAAGTTTAATGGTAAAAACGGACCATAATCTTTTATCGAAAATCCATGCAAACCAAATCTATTCTGATTCAGTATCTCATGACTCTCAGTCGAAATCTATACGAACCTTGTATTGCAAGAAAAAGGAACACTGGATAAAAACAAGAATATATTAATTATATACAAAAGATTGAATCTATGATACTAAATTTCGCTCAAACTACAATCAAACGAATAGAGTAACTTAAGTAAAAGCAGTCATTCAGATGAAATACATAACGATGCTTCCAGCTTAAAGGTGAGCTTGCTCTTTCTCGTTAAATCGATTTGCGAAAATAATTGCAAGCTTATTTACAGATACTGTGTGCATCACTCATTTAAATCAACATCACCGATATCGAGTCCAGATTAGCAGCTAAAGTGATTTTAAAAGATATTTTTTATTTTTGTTTGCTTAGACGAAAATCTCAAGTATTAGGAATTGAAAAAATACTTTAAAAAAACGTGCAATAAAATAATGTTGTTTAAGCTATAGTCGTTTTAAAAGCAAAATAACATTTCTTCTTAGAAGGAAAACAATTTATGCTATCAAGTAAAAAATAGATTCATGTCGCAAAAAACCAGAACGAGAAAATTGACCTAAGCAAAAATGTTTATCAAATCAAAATTGTTGGTGCCATACTTGAGATTCACAGTCTTTTGTGACTGGAAATGTACAAAAATTCCAAGATACAAATATTGATAGTTAACGATCACTATGAATTATAAAATATTACCTATAAATGTAAAATCATTCTTGCGAATTTCGCCACTTACAGCGAAGATTGCCTGACATTAGTGCTTTTTATGTGGCAAAATTCATGCAATGTATGTTATTAAATTTGATATATCTAATGAGTGTTCTAATATCATACATATCAAGTCCCCTGGTTTGATCTCCAGTGAAAGAGAACTCGGTGAAATTAGGAGCGGAGTTGCATGACAACCTGGAAGATAAAGTACAAAGTATAAGAAAGGCTGTTTTCTTGAAAATGAAAACTAACCAATAACAACTATTGTTGATATACTTATGAAAACTGGTGAAAGATTGTCGAAATGTCATATTGATAGCAAGTCTGGTCCTTCATTTGGCAATTTCTTGATCTGCATTAGCATTCATGTAGTGAAAATGCTTGAATTTTATTCCATAACCTTCTACTTGCCCACAAAGACAAATTTTCAAAATAAAATAGGCATAAGGGCTCAAGATGACAAGACAGAAATTGAAGAACCTTAGGCCTAGTAATAAGTATGTATTGAACAAGACAATAGTCTGCAGAATAATACGAGTATGGCTTTGAAAAAAGTAAACATTTGAGTAAACTAAAGCTTTTCGTCTGACACTCTTCAGAGTTTAAAACGTCAGAACATAGATCGAAAACTCTACACCAGGAAATATATATACCTAGTTGTGGATCGAAATAGGCCAATCAGAAACGCGAGCACATGACTGTCCAATAACCTGAAAAACCCAGATTGTGCAAAAACTATAATGGCGACATGTTTCGGATTATTGGTAAAGACCAATCGTCGTTCACTTTAGCAGTTTTGGAATCTATCTACATAAGCACGAAAAAACCGCTATTGTGTAGACAAAGGAGTTCGTTTTCACCTTAGGACACCATTGGTAACTTTCTCAATAGGCAAGCGACACTGATTGGTCATGTGCTCGTGTTTCTGATTGGCCTATTTCGATCCACAACTGGGTATATATATTTCCTAGCGTAGAGTTTTCGGTCTATGTTCTGACGTTTTAAACTCTGAAGAGTGTCAGACGAAAAGCTTTAGTTTACTAAATGTTTGCTTTTTTCAAAGCCATTTTCAAGTTTTGTACCACCAAAAGATTGTTTGAATAATATGAGTATCAAACAGGCTTGTTTTCTGAGAAATAGTAACGAGAACAGATGTGCTAGAGATATAAACTGGGTTGATAAAAATGCTTCTTTTTTGACAAAGCTATTTTCGAAAATTGATAGCGCTAAATTACACCAAAGTGTCTTAATGTAACACTTATATAAGGAGATGTTATAAAAACAATGCATTTTGTCAAAAACAAAAAATCTGGTTTCGGTTAAAGCCGTATGTGGAAATCAGTTCTTCTAGCATTTTATTTGCTACCAAAAGTTCAAAACAGTGAGCTGGTATTCTATATCTACAGATAATGACACCAAAAGGGTTGAAGGAGAAACATTGGCAGACTGCATAACACCTAGTCGGACTTTGGTGCAATGACAATGAGTGCTATTTGTTCTGAATTGTAATATAAATAGCGAACCACAAGGTGACGGGACGGAACCAATGACAGATGTTGCTGTTCTTGCTAAATGTTGCAAAACGATTGAGAAAAGCAAACCTTTTAGTTCCAAAAGACATCGTTGCCCTTTAAGCCCTAATTCAAGAGCACAGTTATGCCAAAGCATGGGAGTTACTGAGCCTAATTTTGGACTGGGATATGCCATTTTGGTTAAAAAATTAGGATCCATAATTCCGTACATGACTGAAAAAATGTGGCCCATGATTCCGCAAACATGATGAAAGCTATAATTCTGCATGTTTCTTCAAATGGAACCCATAGTTCCTCGCATATTTCAAAAACTGACACAGATAATTCCCCACTTTTCAGAAAAAGGTACCCCTAAAAAATGGCATGTGCCCACATTTTCAAACATGTTTAGGTACCCCCCCCCCCCCGAGTGCCAAAGAGAAGCTGATTCTTCAAAGTACGGCAAAGCAAGTGAAGAACAAGCAATCTGTGGCCATACAGCAAGAGTTGTGGAATAGCAAGGGATCAAACAACACAACAAAAGAAGATGGCTTACCTTATTGGCTGATTCTAAATGGTTGATAAGAGTTTTCATTTCTTCCTTGTTTAACTCCAGAGATACTTGTCTTCTTCCATCTTCTGTTTGTAGCTGAAAGTCAACATCTGCCATTGGCTCTCTTACATTGGCTAACTTGTCACTACTCATAACCAACTGAAATAAAAAGAGGATAATATAATGATAATGACTTATTGCCTTTGTCTAATACAAGCCAACAAAACAGAACCCAAAATAAAAATATGCTAATACTATGTTTGAATAATTTTAGCTGCTTCTTTGAGATTCAAATACAACTCTAAGAGACACTAAAAGTCTCACTTCAAGCAGTTCTTACATTTTAATTTTGATGCTTCTTACACTTACAATATTTAAATTAACATTTTTTGGCTCAAAACAGAAAGCAAGAAAACCACAAATATGATATAATACTGTAAACATTCATGACTCATGAAAAAATTAAAATAACAAACTATTTAATTTGTTAAAGCATAAGTATCAGCTGGTAAAAGATACAAACTGGCACAGTTGTTGAATATGAAAACAAAATTCTTGTATTAATCAGTAACAATTCAAAACATATCTATATACATCTTCTGATTGAAAAATACATTTATAGTGCATTGTTCTGAAGTGATAAGCACTTCTTGAGGAGAGGAATCCAATAAAACATAATACAAAATAAAAAAATTCAACTTTGCAAAATGTAAATCTAAATGTTAACATTATGTATAAGTTAATTTATGTCAGGATAAGGTATGCCTTTGACTTTGGAGCCATTCAGACTACACATAGGTTGGTTTTGATTCTACAAATGTTAAAAATCTTCTGATTTATGTTAAGGTGCACTATTGTTACGCCCATGGTTATCAACAAACACCTAAGTTATTACAAGCAACAATATCAAGGAAGCAAACAAAAAGTGTCTTAGATTCTACAACAAGTTAAGCTTAAGGAAATTGGAATGAGATCTGAATCTCTATTACTGAAAAATTCAACAGACAAATAGAAGTTGTAAAGGAAAAAGATCCTGATTTCTTTATATCAAACATACACAGTTTTCAAACTTTGGTCAAAGTTTATATGTCTAAACTAAAATTAACTTAACAAAAATATCACAATTTGCATTTCCTTTGAAAAAACTCAAAACTAAATAAATAATGCAGAAAAAAACAACAGATGTCCCACATAGCCATGTCGCCCTTTCTTTACCTTTACTTTCCAGTCAAAGTCCTTTAATGATGATTGTGAAATAGCTGAAGTTTGGCGAATCATGCTCTCTTTGATATCATTTTTGCGCAAAGTGATGCATATTAAGATTCTTTTTGTCCATTCTTCAGAAAACTCTTCCTCAAGTAGTTGCTCTTTAATCTAGTAAGGGACATATTTTTGTAAGAATGAGTTTTCAGCATAATCTTTAGTTGGTTGAAACAAATTCAAAATCCACTGAAACGTTAGTTATTTAAAATCCACTGAAACGTTAGTTATTTCAAATCCATTGAAACAAAAGTTATTTAAAAACAGATGGGATTGAACTCGAAATGATTGCGATATGCTTTAACGTAGTTTAAATCAGGTAGCTTGAATATACAAGGCAACTTGAACCATTTTGCAGCCTATATAGCTTGCATGAGGTGAACATTCTGTTTTCTTCTTTAAGGTTTTTCTGAAGATGATTTGAGCATGGTTTGGTATTAAAGTTTCTAATCTAAAAATAAGCCATGCATTTAAGTCAAATAATGAGATTTTCTAGGTAGGTAATCTATGTCAAGGAAAATAAAGAATTCATTGGGAAAATAAAGTATTACCAGAACATCTTAAACTGGTATCATATGTAGTCAAAAATACCTCTTCTTTCCCTACATTGCTGCCAACCCAACATTTTATAATTGCTGACCAACAATCACAGATGGTGATCCATTCTTTAATGTTCCAAGTTGAACTAAAATCTTTGAACTGTGGTCCCCTTTGCTTGCAGATGAAATTTATTAGCTGGTGAAGAAACTAGAACAGAAATTGAAGTACATCAGTATAAAATGGTTTCTGAAGTTTGCTTTAATTTTATTATATGACTGGATTTAGTATGAAAACATTCAACATAAAAAAATTAGATATTTATTAATCAGGACTTATCAAGGTACCCCCTCCCCCCCCCCAAGTTACAATGGGGCACAGGGTCTTGCTCCAAAATTTTTTTCGAATATTTAAAAGCAACATGGCAAATGCTTCCAAAACAGTTATCTTGAACATGTACATTAACATCTCAGGATTACTTTGAAACCATAATTCAACAAATATCAGTTCAAAATTGTTCAAGACCAATTGGATATATACATAGCATCATTTTTTCCAAAACTTTAACATCTTATACTTAAAAACATCAATTTGAGCTGTAAGACAAACTTTAACACAAGATATAAACACAAGGGCATCCTTGATGAAGAGCTATGCACAGTCTTTAAAGAGGCTGTGGAAAAGTGCTGCTGTTTTTATGCTTGTGAAAAGGGTGATTCCACCGCAGAAACTGAAGTGAGATTTGGTAGAACAGAGAATCCCAGTGCATCGAGATAATTTTAAAGTCTCTTGTTACTGAAAATTATTTGTCATTGCCAGAGCCTTAAAGATTGATTTTATATGTATAATCTTAAAATAATTTCCTTGATCATTCCACAACAAAGAAGCCATTTATACTGCAGTGGGAACACAAGAAGTGAACATCATAACAGGCTGTTTGGCCAAAGGGACAGCAAAGAGGCATTTGTATGTGGAAGTCCAGATTCACGAAAAGTAAACAATGCTGAAAGCAATGGCGACATGGCTATGTTGGACATCTGTTGTTTTTTTCTACATTATTTATTTAGTTTTGAGTTTTTTCAAAGGAAATGCAAATTGTGATATTTTTGTTAAGTTAATTTTAGTTTAGACATATAAACTTGGACCAAAGTTTGAAAACTGTGTATGTTTGATATAAAGAAATCAGGATCTTTTTCCTTTACAACTTCTATTTGTCTGTTGAATTTTTCAGTAATAGAGATTCAGATCTCATTCCAATTTCCTTAAGCTTAACTTGTTGTAGAATCTAAGACACTTTTTGTTTGCCTCCTTAATATTGTTGCTTGTAATAACATAGGTGTTTGTTGATAACCATGAGCGTATTGTTTAAGGACGATTCGGACTTGGTAGCAGTGCTGCAAGCTCAAGATTTCATGGTCTGTCATTTTGTCAGACACTGTGATTCGTAAACAAAATCCCCTTACACAAATTGATAAACAAAATCCCTCTTACATGCAGATTGGCCCATATAAAATGTTTGTTTAGGGTTACATGACCCAGCCCCATTAAGACAATACATAGCCTGTCTTGAGATTATTGAGCAATGAACTCTAATGAGCTAACCTGTTTAAATTAGCTCCAACAAGAAGATTTTCTAAAAAAGGTGATCTTTTCAAACTTTAAGTACTGTTTTACTAATCATTATTACTGCTTTTGACCGAATTGAATTTAATAGGTTTAAACCAATTGACAAATTGCAAAAAGTACAGAGAACAATCTCAGAGGAGAAGGAGATTTGTACAGGTGCTAACTCCACGTTGGTGTTTCCAAAAAACTAGCAGCTGTGGCAAAGGAAAATCCTAAAGGGGCTATGCGCCCAGGCCCCCACTTACATCTGTTTGACAGTGAGGGTTAATTCGGGAACTGCTCCTGGTCTTGAGAACAGAAGTCAAAACATTTTCCCAAACCTTTTCACAAAAACTCACATATATCCAACTTAAAACTTGATAGCTTCATTTGTTTACTTAATCATGTTTGAAGACTCTAATGAAGATATTTCAAAACAGGTAAATTGTGATTTATGTCTTTCTTATGTTATTGTCATGTTTTGCTTAAGTCATATTTTCCTTTTGCAGATGTTATACTTATGATAAAATGATCAAAATGACTTTCTTCTTGTCAAAACCTTTGTTAGTGCTTGCAAATGAAAATCATTACAATGAAGTTTATAATACCTTTTTGTCATTAACTATTTGCAAAGCAAAAACCACTACCAGAATTCTTAAGGCTAACCTAGACTGCAGAGTACAGTAGTTTTCAAGGAGATCTAAAGTGTACAAAGGCAAAATTTAAAGTGTGCATGTGTGCACTTTAGTATAAGTGTGTATAACTATATCAACTGAGTAAATAGTGGGCACAACATAGCAAAGATCAGACCTGTGATAGTTTTGGGTGAATCAATTTTGCAAAGCATGTGCAAACTTGATACCCAGCATATGTCTGGTCTGCTTGGCTATGTAAAACTCTGAGTGGGTCCAGGTAGGTGCATGAAGTTTATTTGAAAGTCCCCTTCATCTTCATTAATTTGAATAATCAATCATGCCAACCCACCACTTATGGTTGTATATGCAAGCAACATACTCATTCCTTCGAGTTCCAATGCCATTCTCTGGGGGTATTAGAAGCAAAAGAAAAGGTTCCTGCAAAATCTCTATCATCAGAAGTATATTTGAAAGCAATTTTTTGATCTGAAAGTGGAACAAACTGATGGAAACTTCTGGTTCCAGGAATGGTGCTTCCATGGGCAAATCGTTTAAGCTGCTGTTCTTTAACTTTCACCATGGAATCCTTCGATATGAAAAAAAACTCAATATCTTTTATATTTTCTTGGCAAAATTTGAACATAGCAGAAACTGTCAAAATCCGATTGCTGTGAGTCCTTTGCAGACTTGCTCTCATCTACCATCTATCTAGGTGTCATCTATCTATCAAGTAGATACTAGCAAATGTATCTATCAAACCAATGCTAGATTATGGCGATCTTGGGTAAACACGATTCTTCATCTGCCCTTAAAAATTGGCCAAACTCATGTCAAACCCAGATCTCAAAATGCCAAACCCTTTACAATATGTGAAGGTTCTTTTTAGAAAAAATAACTCTGCTGTGAACTTGTCCATACTCTGCAGTCTGGACTTCAACCAATTCTCAGGTTCTTACTTTCTTGACTAAACTTTCCTGTTTTGCTTTTCATAAAAGAACTCAAAACTCCTATTTTTGGAAATTTTAGATCAACAGGTCTGAAGCCTCTGAGGCCAATATGAAAAAAACAAATTTTCTACTAAACATACCATTGGGTATACGTAAGTTAACATTAACTTATTTTGTAATATTAACATTATAATGTTTTTGTGTAATATCACAAAGAGTTAGAATCTTTAAATCAAAGACTTTTACCTTCTCGGCGATTTCTGTATCGGCTTTACATAGAAGACGCAAACTCGAGCCGCGCTCTTCACTTTCCGCTCGGTCAACGTCCGCCATAATTTCTTCTCTTTCACCTTGGCCTCGTTCGCATGATTCTGGCTGTCATGGTCATAGTGTCTGCAATGATTTTATAAGCCCCTCGCATAAACCCTCTCCAATAAGCCCACTCGAACAACCCACCAGGGGGCTTATTCGAGGATTTACGGCATATTATCTTTTTCACATATTTTATATAGTACTAAAACGCTTTTTTCCTGTAGCCTGAAAATCAAATAATTTTATAATCGGTTATTTCAGGGAGAGACGTGGACGCCTATAGCAAAGCATAGCCCTAACAAGGGAAGGAAGGAGAGATGATGACATCGTCGCAAAGAAATGCCATCGTAAAATCTCCTCTCTAAATTTTGAAGTCTTACCAAATTACATACCTCTCTTTGTGAGGGTGTAGAAGGGGATACTGCTAGTAATTAGTCAGGCGATAAAGGGTCCATTAGTCAAGATTTTTGGCTCCAATTAGTCAAAATTTTAGTACGATTCTCCTGATTTTAACATTGATTCATAGTTTTATCTACAATATTCCTATAAATTCTTACATGAATTGCAAGATAAATCAGCCTGTCACAGGACATTTAGAAATTGTTTTCATCACTTACACGTAGAGCAGATTTCACTATTAAGTGATATTAAATGACCAAAAGAAAAAGCACTTTCATTTAAGAGGGAAAACAAAGGAAATACGCACATATTGCGTAATGAAAATTATAAGCAGTAGCAATAGGCCATAACAATGACGGTAAACGTTTGCGTTGATCCCCTGCCCCCATTTCTGATTACGTAATATGTAAACATCTCCATACACAATAGCCAACGCATAGATAATTTGGTCTAGCTACAACCCTGCTCTTAGTAGTGTTTTTTTGGGAAAACACAGGCTCATCTTTGCTCTTTTTATCATCTGAAGATAGTCTTCACTTGCAAGTTTAGATGATTCTCTCTCAGCTCAAGTACATGCAGTCAGAAAGTCTGAATACATGTGAATATATGTGGCATTTGAGATAATTCGCATTAATCGTAAGTCAAATACAAAGTATGGTTAGCCATCAGTCTTGGGTTTTACACATTATTAGTGATTAGTCAGTTTGGAAAACAGTCTGTTAGTTACCTAGTCAAAAACCTTTCTACACCCTTCTCTGTGCAAAATCAGTTAAATATGTCACAAGTCGCCCAGGATTGCCAAAGAGGACAGGCTTTTCTCTAGCGAATCTCAATAATGTCATTTTGCCTTGTTTCTATAATTTACGTATGAACCAGTGAAAGAAAACAGTATTTGCTTAGCAAAAGTTGAGACTTTAGCTGGCAATTTCGCAGCCAGTTGGAAATAGAATCAAAATTATATTTGGTCCGATTTGATTCACTAATGACAATGAACTGATGAAGTTTCAAGACTACAAAGAGTAGAATAGATCCAAGACAATTTTTCCAAAAACTGAGGGAGTAGCGTTGCAGTTTTCTTACTTTATGAAATTGGTCACGGTTATGCCAAAAATGCAGCTGTCAATCGAATCAAAGAACATATTTCAAATTGCTTACTAGCCATCAAATATTCTGAATCTAAGGTCCGACTGTATTTCTTGTACTGCCTAATGTTGAAAGCTAAGCTATAATCTAAAGTCTGCCGGGAACAATAACCATTTTGTCGGGCGAATCGCTTATTCTTTACTTTTTGTTCAAATCAGATTGTCCAAATTTCTTAAAGCATCTTGCTTGTCAGATAGTTTTAAGACGGTTTCTTCCTTGCAAACCCATTATACATGAAAAACCTAGGTAGATATTATGGGACATGATCCACGAGTGCTAATGGGTATCCAACAAAGTCTACAGCCAGCCTCCTGGTTTTCTGAAAAGTAAATGTTACCGATTAGAAACCAAAAAGACAGGTAAGCACAAATTCTATTTTGTTGATATGAATCCAAAATGATCTTCAAACTGAAAACAAAAGGCTGTTTCAAGGAACCAATGGAACCTACTACACTTGCTTCAATAGCCCCACTTGGATACTCCTACTTTGATTCAATCATCGATTTATTTTATCGAATAATAACAAAGCTAAAGAAACTCTTGGTAACACTTTGTAGCCGTGACAGCTTTTTCAAGACTTAGAAAGGGGACATTAATGCATCGGAGAATATCTAGAGAACATCCTTTAAATAAGAAAAATACCGATCGCAGATAAATTAAAAAACAAACTCTAAATTACTTAACTGTAAACAACCGATATTCTTAAAATACATTTAAAAAATGTTCAAGATTCGCCCTCAGTGTGACTTTTTTCTTTTAATTTACCTTATATAATAGGGAACAGAGTTTGAGAAAAGGATTTTAGGCCATAAAATGTGTAAGAAGGAAGAAATGCAGAGTATGCTGTCCGCCGGGTTCTGTGAATTTTGCAATGAGTATTAATACAAAAGATAGTCAGGAAAAAAGCAACACGACGGCGAGAATCCAATGTAGTGAAATAGAATTTCAAAAACAATTAAATTTAGTAAATACAAATTCACAATCACTTTCCTTCTCGTTTGTAGAGACAAAATTATAGGGTAGCAAAATCAAGCATCTAGAGAAACGAAACAAACTTTTTTCCGTTACATTAACTTTATAGTTTGGTACTACATTTGCCGTGTCAGGATCATAGTCAAGTCAAACTGGAAATTTTGATCATGTTCTCATCCCATTCAATCTAAAGACGATAATAATCAAAAGGTTTTCTAAAATCACAGATATGAGATAAAATAAATACAATTGCACGGGTATCTTTTAATTTATCGAAAAATATCCAATTCTCAACTCACAATGTAGTATTGCTTATCTTGAACATTTCAACTGTAGTGTATATCTAGTTAATTAGGCCCCTACCACTTTTGGAAGTTTGAACTTAGAAGAAAAAATAAGCACCCTTGTTTGGTATTGGAAGAAACTTAGGCGAGGCTTCTTTAGTTAACAAAAATAAATTCTAACAAAAATATTAGATCAAATGCTTAATTGCGGGAAAAATTATTGCTACAATAATTGTGACGAAAGCTACGAGTCTCTTAAATAAATCATTTATTGAAAAAGGAGAATAGTCGAGGGACGAATCAGTATATGAAAATCTCATTTATCATTGCTAGAAATCCAATTATTTGATCCGAAAAGTCCTAGATATCCTTTTATTATATTAGCAATCCAGTTTTTATCCGTAAAAATAATCTAAATTATTTGTTTTGGATGTAATCTCCTACATAAATTGCCCCTCGAGTGTAGTTTTGGAGATCTACCCTTGATAAATAGGCCCTGTTTCAGCTGAGACTCTAAATTCTCAATTGAATAGCTTTATTTTCTTTCAATGAAAATGGAACCAACTGAGCACAAATTCAATATTTGGTTTCTTTTGAATGAAAATACAGCTTTCTCTTTTTCTGTAATTGTTGTTTTTCCAATGATTTTTCTAATTCAGAGATTTTTTCTTTCAGCGCGTGTATTTCTACTTCAGCTTCTGCTTGGATATGCTGCATTTTTCTTCTCAGGATATCGTTTCTGACCATCGAGGACCCCACGTTTACTTGAGACTCGTTAGCTGGTGGCCTATGCATTTTTTGAAGTTTTGTATCACACTCGAGCCTTATCTTCATTATCTCCGTTTGTTTTTCTTTCTGTATATCAAAAATGCGTAGTTCAAATTCTTTCAGCTTCTTGTCTTTTTTATCAATCGAATCTTGCATTTCTTTGTATTTTTTCTCAAGCTTGTCCTCAAACTCTTTCTTAAGAGCAACTTTTTCCCTATCATTAAACACATTAATTGCGTTGATTTTTTCAGTCATTTCCTTTTCCTGTTGCAGAATTTGTCTTTCAAGTGAACTTATTTGCTCTTTACATCTTTTCGTTTCCACCTTTTTTGCTTCATATTCAGCAATGATTTTATGTTCAGAATGTAGTGTTTCCTGCAAAGTTGATAGGATTTTGTGTAACTGCTCGATCTCTTGCCTAGCCTGAGACTCGTTGTTCTTCGTCAGTTCACAGCTTTTTGTCAAAACAAAGACTTGACGTTTCAGCTCCTTATTATCCTCCAGCATTTTTTCAGTGTACTGATCCCACGAGTGGATATAGTTAATTGCTTCATCAATGTCTAATGGACTCTGCATTGTCAAATTTCGTAAATTTTTCACTGAGAGAGCTAAGTTTAGAATTACATGTATCCAAAAGTCCTATTTCAATTTGCGATGACGAATACGAATTTCTGCCTCGCTTTCAAACTCTTTTTCCCGCCCTTTTTGAAGATATTTAGTTTTCAGCTATTTCAGTTATTAGAAAAAACTATATACTTATTTTAAATAAAAGGCTGCCGAAGATTGTAGTAGCCAAAAATGAGACTTTTTAATTTGAAAACTTTTCTTGCTCAACAAAAAGACACATTAGCAGTCTCTGTATATAATATATTAATTTTTTATCGTCTTTTTTAGCCCTGAAGACTCCCAGTTATGTTCAGCAACACTTAAACATTTTTGAAAAATTATTTAGTTCAACAGTCCTTTTTCAAACAAGGTGCAAAGTTTGAAAGGTACAGACGAAAATCTATTTGACAGCGATTTTCTTTATTGCTTGGTAGAAATCATTATCAGAGCAATTCAATTACAATATAAAATGATCAATGCACAACTATTGTAAAAATTTGCATCTTTTTCATTAAAAATTACCTTTTCCTAATCAAGTATCTTATAACACTATCTTAAAACTATTTATAACACTTTTAAGGACATTGTCTTGGAATTTCACATAATTTCGTCTAGTTTGGCCAGACCTCTTTGGCTGAAACATTTTTGCTGTTAGTAAAGTTGTTGAACAACTCTAACTAGAAAATAGACAATACCAAACGTAAAAAGTGAAACAATCTAAGCAGCAAGGGTATGCAAGTTGACAAAAATTTGATTGAAAACGAAATTTAAAGCGACCAAAATATAGGCAATTACTGTTTTTCGGCAGAGATGTTTCGAACATGATGTTTGCATCAGGTTGCTTAGTACACGCTCTTTTTTAGAGAAAAAACGGTGACAAACATAGTTGCTTTTGGATCTTAGTAATTTTGACTTAAAGCACTTAAACTGTTTGATTTCAAAAACAGAAGTCTGCCACTTTTTCAGGATAATTGCGAGTTTGATCAAATGGATTGTCTATTTTTTAACGCTTGTTAACGAACTACAAACTTCAAATTTAAGGTATTTAAACAGAAATAAGAGAAATGATGTAAAACAGTTGGAAATACTCAAAATAGAATCTGCTTTCAACGAATCCTGTGTTTCTCAGACCTTTCAAAAATCCTGTACTCCATTTCTAAACATCCATATCGAGATTAAGTTATTCAGTAAAGTGTCAATCCCTTGCAATTGGTCCTTCTGACTGGTTGTTACAAAGCAAAAATAATATGGATTATTTTGTCAAATGCTTATCTTTAGGAGGTTTAGTATGACAAACTTGGCCTACTTCTTTTCACTGACTTACCTACAAATATAATAAAAGGTTTATAAAAGTAAAAGCTTATACAGTTAGAACAATGATAATAAAATCCGTTACTTTACATGATTCAATACTATTTTATAAATTTGGTCAGTATTAGTAAAGCTACCAAATTACAGTAGACCGTTCTTTCAGTGAAAATGATCGTAAAATGATTTGAATATCTCACCATTCAGTTTCAATTGCATTTTTAGATTTTTTTGAAACAAAACTAACTGCAATTCTTTAAAAAATATATCCTAAGAGTGGGCTTACTTCTTTGGCACAACTAACCAATTAAACTAGTGCTATTATACCACTACATGGAGTATCTCATTTTTTTTAACGCTTGTGCCCATCAGGACAAATGTTATGCGAACAATAATAATATAAGATATAATGCAACAGAAAAACACAAGTAAGAGAGAGTAAACACTAATGTAGCCAATATCCCAAATAGACAGCTCTGAAAGTTTCGAGCTTTACATTCAATTAGTTGTATTGCATATGTTCATTGACAGTTTTGCAAAATTTGCAATTGTAATATATTCTAGCTTCTTGATAACCGAACAGGCACCATTATTTGTCCCAGTAATACTTTTATAACTAAGAACAGTTAGTCCACTAGATGTTCTTTTTCAAAATGCTGTGGGTGACTTTGAATGACTTCTGTCCAAGCTATCAAGACCTGTTGTGCATGAATAAATTCAATCGAGGGATACCGGTAGTTATTTTTAGAAGCCCTTTAGGCTAGGTTACCATCCTTTACCCTCTGGAAAATCCACACAACTCACACATAACCACATTCATCGATCAACATACCATAAAAGTTCTATTAAGCCTCCTCTCTATTAAGCCCCTTCTCTATTAAGCCCCTCTTTATCAAGCAAAAACTTAAAATAAGCCCCTCTATCTATCAAGCCCAGCAAATCGACAGAAAATTTAAATTTGACAGAGATGCTTCCTTTAGCTTAAAAATTCCAATTGTTCCTGACCGGAAATATCAAAATATTTGCAATGAATTTATCTCTAAATTTTAATTTTTTCACATTTACTTTTATGGTGCCATGTGACTATTAAATATATTTGACTACTTTTAATGTAGATTTATTTACTCATTTTATCGTTTTAGCTTGATGTTTATTGACATGGGCACCAGCTTTTATTTGCCATAACGAAATTTGCTGTAACCTCGATTCGGCTTGTACCGAAAAAGAGGCTTTTATAATATTTAGAAACAATTGTATTTTTCTTTCTAAGTAACGAAAGTAATTTATAAAGAAAAAGAGACCACCTATATTTTGGAAAATCGTTGAAATAAATCGTGAATAAATAAATGTACTGAACGGAAACCAAACAAATAGAAAATGGCCGACTCTTGTGACACTGAGCGAGACATTTCAGCAGATAGTGCAGATACGAAATTTAGGCCGCCATCACTGGGTTGCGACGATCAGGAAGCAAGTTCATCGACACTGAAGGAAGTTGATAATGTGGCATTACTTTCTCTTAAAAGCGGTATTGAAAAGAATTATCTTGCTGATGTTTATAAAGCAAAGTCAAAAGTGAATGAACTTGTCCACAACCAAGACGTGCTGAGAGAATCTATTCAGCAAGAGATGACAAATTTGAATGAATACAAATTGACTGAGGATATAACTGAATTTGTAAATGAATTAAAAAAGTATCATTTTAAGCTTAAAAATATAGGCAAAGACATTAATTACATCAATGAAAAAGTATCAAAAATGAAACGGCAAGCATCAAAATTAAAAGCGAATAAAGAAAAAGAGGAAATGCAGGTTGAAGAAAGTAAACGAAAGGAGCGGGAATTGCAGAGACATTTGACAGCAAAGCCTGCTGCTGATTCTCTAAGTAACTGAATACAGATTGCTGCCAATTCAGAAATGGCTATGATAAAATTGAATATAATCTCTTATTACTTATTAAGACATGTTTTAATTTTTGACAGAGCTTTATCATGTAATTTGGGAAATCAGTCATATGAAATAGTCTTATTTATTTTATAAACCTCCTTTTTCCTATATTAAAAATTTAATTTTTCTAAAGCTAAATGAAATTTAACAGATACTTTTCTTTTTCTTGTACTCATTCAAAATGAAGACAAAAGGGACAAAAAAATCATATAATAATATAACACAAGACACAAAAGGCCTGCATGCAGAGCTTGGCAATTGCACATCTAAGATGTAGAAATGGCAACGCTAATAGCATATCTAAAAATTAGGTAAAATTTATGTCAAAAAAGTTGGTAGTGCTGGCACATCTGGATTTTCCAATGAGTTTGATCACAAAATCTTATCAAATCAACCATATTCTGCAGACAGCACAAAGAAATGAGCTTGTCTTTTGTTGCTGTCTTGAAATGCTACTTTCATATGGCTTGGTATCTGCTAGGGTTAAAACTTTATACTTACTTCAGAGATAGCAGACATGGTCCAGGTCCACATTGAGACATTTGAAAAGCCGTTTGAATTTCTTTGCACAATGAAATTTCTTTTTCAAAAGTCTAGTGATAAAGCATTTTATTTACAGGTTGACCTCTGGCATAGTAGAATTTACAGATTCTACTCTAGCTCCTTTATGATCACAATTAACATAGTACTTGTTAAATATTAACAAAATGAAAATTATGCTCTTTGATGTACCATTTTATAGCATAGGATTGTGCAAGACAGAAAGGATGAATCCTCAAAAGTGTACTCTAAAACATTTTTTCTCCAATGGTTTTACACACCACTTGTATAAGTATGTGGAAATTGGTAAGGTATGATGTAATGGACACAAAGTTTGTTAATGCACCAATATTTGCACAGCATCTTGTAATTTAGAGGTGGACACTAGTAGGTTGGAAACTTGGTATGCATAATTTTTACTTGGCTGTTGCATATTGAAAATCTTTGGTGTCATACTTTATAAATGTGCCAAAAGGGAAAAGATACTAATCAAATTGATTTAGATCAAGTGAGAAGTAAAGGAAGATAGCCTTTTTAGAGGAGGAAAATTTTATGTAAGAGCAACAGTCTATCTCCAGAAAAAGGTTCCCATGCCAAAAAATGCAAGTTTCGGGGCTTTTCTATTTAAAGTAAACAGTTTGAAAATGTATAACTTTTCAGTTAAAGGATAAGTTGAAAAAACATGTATCACACAGTCTAAAAAAATCCAAAAGTTTGCCACTGGATTACTGCTATTTAGGCTTGGCTCATAAAATCTAAAACCAAAAACAATTTCATTAGGGAAGTTGCATGAGCTTGCCAGCTCTTGATGCTACATTTCTGCCAGTTTTGGTTAGGTTGATCTATCTTATACAGGGCTATATGACAATATACTTTTTGACTAGATGTTCAAATTTCAGAATTTCAAAAACCCACCTAAATAAAATCTTTACACTCTATTGGACATCACAACGAATTTCCCATTATCTAAAAATTCATCTGGCCCAAAGATGAACTGACTGAAAATATTTGAAAGAAAGTGTTCTAATTTCACTGTGTTAGCAACTCCAGCCATAATACTTTCCCTAGCTCTCTTCCCTAGCTTACCATCTGCTTCTGTAGACCAGATGGTTGAAAGCTTTTAAACTTTATCATTCAAACATTCTTAGTCCCAGAAATGAAAATTTTTGGATTTTTCTTCATAGATTTATAATGCCTGAAAAGGCGGCAGCTTCAACTGAGGTTTGGTGTCACTAATTGTTCAAATCGCCTAAGTACAAATAACTTCGTTTATATTCTCTCTTAATCTTTTTGTTATACATACAAAACAGTAAATTTTACAGACTTTACTAAAGTATCAAGAGTTTTCTATAACTGTTTATTTTCTCGCAGAAAGATTGTTCATATTATCAATATTATTGGCAAAACGTCTCCCCAACCAAACAGCACTTGTCAACATTTTAGCCAATGATTTGCAAGCATAAGTTTCTGTTAATGTTAACTCTGCAATTGTTTAAGAACAACTGAAGGTTACTTTGTTTTTGGTATTTTAACAAACGCTAATCTGGAAGTCTAAACCTCTATCTTTGTTTGCTTTTTTCATAATTTCTTCGTTTTCTCTTTAAAGTCTTTCGGTTGACAGGAGTAGGACAACCGCTGCTGCTAACATTTCTTGTCATGCCCTATATCTCTCGTTCTCTTTTGACTATTTAACCATCGCAAATAAAGTCCATTCCTCTTTATGACGTAAGGTAAGACCTCATAACATTTCATAACAATGTTGGCTGCCTCATTCTGCAATTGTACCTCGTTAGCAATCAACTTCCTAAAGTAATAATTACCAAAGATGCTGTTTTTGGGTTCTGATGCTACGAGAATTTGCCTTTTAATCAATAAAACAGAAGCCGCAAAGATTTTCAAATTAGAGAAGAGAACATTAGGGCAAAATGGACAGTGAGTTAAGAGACTGACTAGTTTATTTCGTTAACAACCCTAATCTACAATTTCAAGAGCTTGGTTAAAGAAATGACAAAACTTTGTAAAACACAGATCCAGCTCTCCACGTTTTCATCACTGGATTATAACAATTTGCGCTTTTGATTCCCAAAAATGAAGAAGATATTCTCAAAGGGTATGTAATTTACCCCTGACCTAGGTTTTTCACACGTGCGCTTGCCTCTAAATGCCATGAAGCAATTGTGGTTATCAAATTTTTGTAGTCAGTAATTCCTTTAAAATGAATTGGATTTTCAGATCATAGACTCGGCAAATTGTCTACTAATTTGACCCATCTTTGAGCAAACTTTATCGATTGACTTCAGAGTTCAGGTTCACCTGCATCAGAGCACTGAGTTAACTTAGATGAAAACGATGGCATTTCCTGTCGTCGAGCTAGCCTGCTTAATTACTTTAGAAAATCAATCTCGATCTCATATTCACGCGGCGTGGTATTATCGAGACTGCTATACTGCTGCAAAATTACTTAAGCATCGTTGCCAAATGTTAATTAACAATTAAAGTAAAAAGTCAGGCAAAAATTCAGGAGTCAAAGTCAGAAACAAGGATACTCGTTATATAGTTATTGGACTATCTCGCTCTTACAAATTGTGTCATACCAGTCAAAGTATAATGGCTTTTACCATAGACAAACAATTATTTGACTTGAGAGTCTTCATACAAAGCAAGTAATGTTACCAAGAACTATTACTTCAAGCAGTTTTATCGTATAATAAATGAAAAGTTACACATTTGAAAAATAATAAGTCACACAGCAAAATTAAAGATTAAAAATATATTCTACTTTAATGTGATACAAGAACAATTGGCAGCTTACGATAGCGTTTTCGGCAAGATTTCAGTCTTGATCGGAATTGAAAAGATAGTAGCAATGAAAATATCTGAGAGTAAAAATTTTGAATTGTGCCGTTCTTGATTGTACATTAAGTCAGGGCAATTTGTAAACTCGAAATTTTCAACACCATTCCAAATTCCTTTATTACTAAACCGTAAACAAGTAGTTATGTTTTGAACATTTTAAACGAGAAAGCCAATCAGACAGCATCACCTAGACAGTAAGAATTAGCGTCCACGCAAAAACTTGTTAAATAATCCAATCGGTTTATCTATTTCCGCTGCAACCGGTCGTCAGAGTATAATGATAATAATTAAACTTGATCCATTTTGATTGGTGGCTTCCAGATCAAAACATTTAGGATGCCCGACACATTCTGCTGCTGACTTTATGAGGTATTTTGCTTTGTAACGCTTTTTGTTTTGTTTTGCTATATTTTAATGAAATAGTGTCAGCCATATTGAAAATTTGAGTTTAGAAATTTCTACCTTTACTGCTACTTGCAATGCTATATCAGCCTTAAGTGATGCTAAATGTTTTAATACATCTCTATTCAACGCCTCAAGTTACACTAATAATTGATAATCACAATGGCAGCCTTCTCTTTAAATTCCACTTTCCTAAACATTTTTGCGCACATCAGATGAGATTTTTGACAATAATTGATTAATTAAAAAAGACAATAATTGAAAGGCAAGTAGTGCTAAACTCTACGAATGGTGACAATTGTAGTTGGCACAAGTAAAATCTGGTATTTCGTCTTCTGCAATTTATATCAAGATAATAAGTCAAAAAACTTTCCTCACAAAACCTACCCACAAACCAGAGATAGCAGCAAGCACTCAGAAAGTGGGACAGGCTGTTAAGGGCAGAACTAGAAATAAGATTTTGTAGGTGAAGAGCTAATTTAAGGTACAGTTTTTTATTATACTTTATAGTTCTATCTTAATTTTTACCAGTTTTAAATAAGCAGTAGAGCTTTCTTTTTGTGAAGAACTTACTTCTCTATTGTGTAAAAATGAAATACCACCTTCGAAAATGTTACATTACATTCAAATCGTTTTGAGTTGCAGTCACAAACAAGCTAAAGCAAAGATAAAGGCCAGAAAAGCAAGCCAGGAAATATCACGATCTCTGCAAAAAGCACATTGTAAAAACTCTTTACAAATCTAGCTTGTGGTAATCAACTCAAATGATGGGATGTCCCAGAAATAGAAGATGTTATATTTTTGTATGGCAAGCAAAGCTAGAGTACTATGTAAGAACTGGCCATTGTCAATCTAAAAACTGGCAGTCCCTCATCTTTAAAAAAGAAAATGACATCATGGGCTGTACGAAGAATTTCATAGTGGGCGGGGAGGGGGGGGGGAGTGGTTGGGCTCGAGTTGATAACTTAATTAGACTAAAAACCATTATTTGAAAAACGCACTAAAATGTTTCACGATTTTTTTATGCCTATGATTCTATGGGGCAATCGTTATGCTAACGGTACTTTGGATGGGCCGGGGATAAGTTGTCGGAGGCTTTAGGAAAGAAGAGGTTTATCGGAAAGGAGAGGCGAGCGAAGCGAGCAGAA